GTCTCCATCTTTTTCCATTTCAGATCGGTGCTGCCCAGGGATGCCCTTCATCCCCATGTCCTTCCCATGCAGCCCATTTTCTTGGGAAATACCAAGTTCCATCAGTCTGTGGATCTGTGCCAGCCACCTTCCTCTGCCCACCCCCACCATCTCTTCACACCTGTGCACACGGCCCCTGCCAGACTCTGCCCCTTAGATGTCTTAGCTCTTCTGCTCCCTCCCTCTGACCTATTCTTAACCCAGGCTCCAGAGGACTCTCCCTAGAACACATCTGATCTTAGAAGAGCGGCTCTCCAACTAAGACCAGTCCAACCGTCGCTGTTAACATTTGGGAATTTTGGACATCTGAAGAAAAGAGGCATTTTTTATTTTATTGTTAGATAAAGGTGGTATACAGAGGGGGTGAGAGTTAATAAGTCAGATAATGAGTGCATTTCTTTTAAGACAATGTAACCCTTTTCCACACTCTCTCCCAGTTTTTCCCTCCCATCTCCACAAAAAAAGGACATTTTTTAAGAAAGAAAAATAGAAAAAAGAGAGAGAAAAGAAAGGAAGAAAGGAGGGAGGGAAGGACCAGGGAGGAAGGGAGACGAAGGAGAGAGGAGAGAGAAGAGGATCAGATTCTTTGGACTTTGCCAAGAGACAGTTGGGGGTGTCCGTGTCACACAGCACACACTGTCTTTACAAATCACTGAGAGGAAGCTATGATGGAACTAATGTGATCCATCGAGCCCCTGAACCATGACCACATAACCACAGTGTGTCCCAGTTCACTGGAAAGGAGAGGTAATGGAGGGGCTGCGTGGGTGCGGCAGGCCCCTCCTTTCCCGTGAGACCCCTCTGTACTGTGTGTGAGGCTGTTGGCCGACACCCAGGGGCTGATCAAGAATCTCCACGTCTGTCCAGATGTTAGATATTGCAAAGCTTACTTTCCAAGATGTGGGAAAAGAATAGGAATTGTATGTTTTCTATTTTTCTCCTTACATCTCAGTGGTGTGTGCGCCCCGGTGTCCTGCATCCTGAACGTGCCAGCCCAAAAACCTTTCCGGGCAGGGAGTGGATTTTTCTTTTCAGACTCCTCAGCAATCTCAGTATCTGCCCTGATGGGTACTCAAGACATGCCAGGGGAATGAGGAGCTTCACTAAAGAATCATTAATTGTATTCACTTGCTTTAATTATTATTTTAACAGCGTATCTTTGCTGGAGGAAGCAGTGGCCTCTGGTCAGGTTTTCCAAGTATCCCTCTTCATTCTCAACTTTGTTCTGTTAACCAAGGGTAACATTTGAAGGCTATACAAGTGGGTGTCATAGGTCTCAAGAAAAAAAACTTAAAATTGTTTTTTGATCCATTACCTGTGTGTGTGTGTGTGTGTGTGTGTGTGTGTGTGTGTTCATGTGCACGCACACCCACCAGTACTGGGGCTTGAGTTTAGGGCCTGAACACTATCCCCTTAGCTTTCTTCTTCAAGGCTGGTGATCTTACCACTTGACCTACAGCTATACAACTACACTTTTAGCTTTTCGGTGGTTAAGTGGAGATAATAGTCGACCATCATTCCTCCCCGGGCTGACTTTCAATCACAGTCCTCACATCTTGTTTCTTGGGTAGCTAGGATTACAGGCATGACCCACCAGTGTCCAGCTTTTATGTTTGCACAGATCTCATGCTCAAGAGGCTTATATATGCCCCATCGAGACCCAGCCATTGTCTTCCAGCCAAGAAGGTGCTGTCATTCTTGGTTTGCTTAGAATCTTAAAGACATTGTATTTGCAAAGTACAAGCTTTCAACATCCCTCCTGTCATTGTAGATCACATCCGTCCTCCCTTCCCTCTCTCTTCTGACGTTTGCCCTTTTCTCTAAGAACCCCTGACTTGGAAGAGAATAGCTTTCCCATTATCTAAAGCCACAGCTCCCACCCAGCTAAGGTCTGTGTATCTGTCTTACTGTTGTCTTAACATTTGGCCCTCTGCTTGGGGAGTGGGTGGTTCACTAGGCAGTCCCCACAGAGAAAGCAGTGTTTGGTCAGGAGGTAAAGTTTCAAGCCAAGCTTTGGCCAGAGCCTTTCCCAGGAGGGAAGAGGGAAGCAGGAACAGGACGATAATTCTCATTGAATTGGAGCTCATTAAAATATTCCCTGGTCCTCAACAGGTTATTTATTGTTTTATGCATCTAGCCATTTTTGTTTCTTTCTAAAAAGAATTCACATCTACGATACAATAATTGCTAAGGGAGGAGAATTTTGGTCTTTGTGAGATTAGCTGCCTTCCCATTGCCTGTTAGCACAATGCAGAGTTGTGTGTGAGTATGGGAAGTTTGGGGCTGGAATGAGATTGTGGAGATTTATTATAGGTAATGAAAACACCAGGTTTGACCAACAGCATCCTGTGGAGGCCCACGGGGAACCTGTGTGAACATGGGATTTCTGGCTTTTTCCAGATTGAACACTTGAGCTTCGTTCACAGGGACCTCGTTTTTTATAGGTATCTGAACACGCTTGGGTTGCGATTGTCAATATGAGGTATGAAAATCCGACTGAGTGATGTTTCTTATCTGCTGACCTGCAATAAGCCCCAAACTTTGCGTGTCTTTTGAGATCACTGTGGTTAAATTTATGGCAGTCATTTATGTATGAAAATGAAGAAACGTATTTTTTGAACAGATGTTTCATAATGTTCTCTTCCCACCAGACCGCTTTTTCCCCTATTCATCACATCATACAAAAGACTAGCTGCTTTTCCGTTCTCTGTAGGGGTCACATGCAGCTTGAATAGACCAGATTGTTGTGGGGGTTGTCTGCACTTCATGGGAGGAGGGGGCTTGAACTCAAGGTCTAGGCGGCATTGTCCCTTAGCTTTTTTTGCTCAAGGGTAGCACTCTGCCCCTTGAGCCTCAATTCTGGCTTTTTGCTGGTTAATTGGAGATAAGACTCTCTTAGACTTTTCATGCCTGATCTGGCTTTGCACCATGATGCTCACATCTCAGCCTCCTGAGTAGTTAGGATTACAGACATGAGCTACTGGCACTCACCTTCTCTTCATTTCTGGAAGTGATTAACCTATAGAACCAGCGCAAAGCTCCTTTTGCAATTGTCCTCTTGTCGTGGCATGATAATTTAAGATGTGGAAAGCACCAGCGCTTTTAGGGAAGAGCCTGTTTATTTGTATGATCAGGATGAGCAAATATTCCTTCCTTTGTCAGGGAAGCCTGGTGCTACCCTCGATCTTGTCTCTTTTGGTCACAAAGCAGGTTGCACTGTCCTGGATTAGTTGTCACCTCCTTGTGTTCCAAGATTGCTAAAAAAGTAAATGAAATAGGTCATGGATGTCTCCATGTATTTGAGGAGTCTGGTGAGATGGCGCAGAGCACCAAACATGAAGCTGGGCCAGTGGCTTGTGTCTGTAATCCCAGCTACGTATGGGGCTAAGATTGTTAGGCATGTGATTCAAGGTCACAAGACCCCTTCTCAAAGAGCTGGACATGGTGGCTCAGCTCCTTATCCTAATTACTGGGAAGCCTAATATAGGTAGATTGGTCCCAAGTGTGTGTACTGGGTGAGAAGCGAAACCCTAGCTCAAAAATTACCACCAGAAGATAGGGCTGGTGGTATGCACTCAGCAGAGTTCGAGCCCCAGGTCCCCAGACCATCCGTGAATGCATCTTGCTGCCTAAATACTGTTCACAGTTTTCAGGTAGAGGAGCTAGTTATTCTTCCCAAGGGCTTTGGGGATCAGCCTGTCCAAGCTGAGAGTGGAGAGGTCGCAGAGGATGTGTTTGTTGCTCTCTGTTTGGGCGATGCTATGATGAGGGCGGGGGTGGTATTAGTGATGCTGACGATGGTGGTGGCGGCAGTGGCAGTGGTGGCAATTTGGAGACTTCTTCCACCCTTCTGTATGTTTGGTTCTGGCCTCTCTTGGCAGTCATTTAAGACAGTGATGACTCGTAATGGACAGTGGAGGAAGAGCCATTAGTATTAGAAGGGAAGGGTGACAGCCTGTGTGTGTGTGTGTGTGTGTGCGCGCGTGTGCGCGCGAGTTTGTCTCCCTCCTTCCCTCCCTCCCAGAGTATCTCCAACAGTAGCTCCACCATGAGAAACAGAACCTCCATAATTGCACTGTCCACTAGTGAACAGCAGCCTGCCTTGTGTACTTGCGGAATGCAGTGAGCTGGTGCGTAGCACCAGCTGATCTGTGTCATGGTAGTTGTTTCCTCCCAGGGCCTAATATCGTCCTCTGCTTTTCCTTCCAGTGTGGATGCAGCTGGAATGGTGGGTTCCTCCAGGACACCGGGTCAGGTGGTCATCCTGGTGGGCTCAGGGCCTGCCTCCCAGCTCTCGGCATACTGTTCCTAACAGACATGCTTCCTTCCAGTGCTGAGCTATCAGAGTCACACAGGGGGACTGGCCAAGTGCAGTCATGTTTACATTCTGTTCTTTCTCAACAACAGCAGAGTGGTGGCGGGGGGTGGTACGCACAGCTAAAACAGAGGTTAACCAGGGCCTCAAGGGAAACGAAGGCCTGCCAGCTTCCTGTGGCTTTGGCAGAGATTCTATGTTGCTTCATGTTGCTGGTGCCAATGCCCTGGCTGGCATCATGCTGCTCAAAACCACGCAGCTTCACCCCACAGCCCTGTGTTTAAGCTAATTCGTGAAACGGGGTACCGCCGACACCCACTCTCCCTCCTGTCTCTCATGGCCATCAGGAAAGGCCCTGCTCCTTCTCTTGCTATCATGGTTAACAGTAAATATACTCACACTGGATCGGCAGAAATGACGTCCTGAAGATGTTTGCAGAGTCCCGTTTTCTTTGCAGGATGTTTTATCCATGTTGCGTCTGTACTGACACCAGAGTGAAAGGAAATCACTAAAGCGATTCCGTCTGTCTGTAGTTCTGGAGCCAGACTCTGGAGTTTTGATTATTATTGTCTATTTTCAAGTCATCTACCATTGATCAGGTCTGTGCTGCAGATTAAAAATGCATGTGTATGTTTGTTCTCTTCAGCTTGAGGAGGCTGACATTGTAGTCTATGGCTCACCTAAGCCGGAAGCCATTCCCCTGAGTTGGATCCAACCAGGAAGCACCGTTCTCAATTGCTGCCCTGACTTCCTGTCAGGTAAATGTCTTCACTCTGGGGCTGGGGGTAGCGGAGGGGTGGGAGGTGGGGGGGTAGGTGCTAACTAAGCAAGTAAGACAGACTTGGGGAAAATGTCTCCTTGCTCATTCAGAGTTTCCTGTCGTCAGTGTGAGCATACAGGAGAGTCAGTTGTGACTAAGGTGGATAAGTTAATTTGTATGTGTATGATGTAGGTTATATCCAGTCATTCCCATCACTTTTTTAAAATGCCAGTAGTGAGGCTTGGACCTGGGGCTTCATGCTCTTGCTTGGTTTTTTCATTCAAGACCGGCATTCTACCGCGTGGGCTATGCCTCGACTTTTGACTGTTTTTACTGGTTTATTGATGATAAGACTCACACAGACTTATTTCGCCTGGCCTGGCTTTGAAACACAATTTTCAAATCTCAGCCTTCTGAGTAGCTAGGATTACAGGCGTGAGCCACCAGCACTTGGCTTCATCTTTTGAAAAGGTGTCTTAGCTGAATCTGTGTGAATGCTCATGAGAGCAGAGATGCTGGGTAAAACAGGAACAAGTAGCAGTCTTGAGCCTCTGGGACTTCCGTTTGCAGTGACCCCTAAAGCACTTGCTAGACCCTAACGTCACCTACATACAGCATGAAAATCACCTTTGGAAAATTTTAGGATTGCAGCTCAGCCGCTATTTCACCAAGGGACCAAGTATGCTCTAAGCCAAACCTAGCCTACCTGCAGGGGGTACAGCAAGCTCCGCCCACCTTTGGCAATCAGCAAAGTGGGAGAAGTGGTCCACAGGAGTCCCTTGCTCTAATGCTCAGACCCTTGGAGGTACCCAGCCCCCCGCAGCGCATCCCTGAGTCACATAGGTGTGTAAGACACAGGACAACAGGAGAAGGAGCCCTTTTCTCACTGACTTTTATTTTGGGGAGCAAAGAGGACTGAGCTGGGTGAAGACAGGGTGGAGCTGGTAGAGACTACGGTCTGTTTCATAACCACCCGCTGCAGACTGGATTGTGAGATCTTAAAACCATCTCTAGACTGACACTGACCACTCTAGGAAATGCCACGCCGTCAGAATGAACAGGCTTCATTAAAAACCCTTGAAACTGAAGTGTGGAGAAATACCGAGAAACATTAATACGTCTCAGCTTGTTTCCCTGGGCGCTGTCAAGAGTTAGCTCTGGCTTTTGTTTTTGTTTGTTTGAGTATTTGTCTGTTTGGTGCTTTAGTTCAGGAAGCACTCTTGATTTTACTGTTTTTCATATTGTCTATACTATTGTCTGGGCTAGCCTCAGACCTTGAAGATCCTCCCTACCCCCAACTTCTGGTATTTCAGGCTGGCTCAGCTCTAGTTTTATGAGCACACAGATAAATGAAGCAATCAGAGCTACAATTTAATTGGAATGTGGCTTCCTGGCTCTTGTGAGGAAGTAGAAGGCATGTGTTGCATACATTCTTTCAAATAGATCTGGTTTGGGGGTCTGAGGGTGGGGCTCAGGGGTAGAGCACTTACCTGGCATGGGTGAGCCCTGGATTTGATCCTTCACACTACAAAAACTACATAAAGCATTCATTCGGCATAGAACTTTTATTTTTCCCATACGACAACAGAGAACATCAAGATCATGAATGGTGGGTTGGTCTGCTTAGGATCCTAGTTAGATTAGGAAGGTTATTTATGAACTTTTTCTTTTTTAAAATGATGCATCTTTGCTGTAATATTTACCTGCTGTTTATTTTTAAAATTTGTGTTTATATTTAGAACAGTTTGAGGCATAATCCTGGCTGAAGATATTTTTTTTAATCCCTTAAAAAATCCTTTAAAATTGTTACTGTTTGGAGGCGATATATTTTATTTCATAAAACTTATTTTTCATATTTTTCTTTTTAGGACCAAGATTTCTTTTGGGGAAAGATATTCCTAAAAAAAAACCAAAACTTTAAGTTTCAAAACCATAGGTCAGTTTCCTTGGAGATAGAATAGACCAACAGATTATTTTTATTATTTATTGCTTATTTGTTTTTTTTTTTTTTTTAAGTAGGATCTTGTTCATAGCCTGAAATCAGCCTTGAACTCATGGTCCTCTGCTTCTATACCCCAAGTTCTGGGATTACCCCTATGCTTGTCTTGCTTATGCCCAGAATAAGCCTAATAAAATTTTTATTTTTTTAGTATCAATACCAGGGCTTGAACTCAGGTCCTCACATGTTTCCCATTTAGCTTTTTTGTTGGTTACTTGGAGATAGAGTTTTGTCGACTTCACTGTTTGGGCTGGCTTTGGATTGTGATCCTTAGATCTCAGCCTCCTAAGCAGTTTGGGTTATAGGCGTAATTCAAGGACTCCTAGCTACATAAATGCATTAAATAAAGAATTCTCTAGCCTTGTGAGATAGTTTTCTTCTTAATGTTTGAATATCCATTTTCTAAAGTTGTAACTGACCATATGAAGCATTCAGTAAGTATTGAATGTAAATGAACAAGTAAGCATGGCCTCTGAATTACACTTTGGGTATAGGAGAGATATTCCCTTGAACATAAACACATCTGCTCATAAACACAGGGATGTCAGGACAGCTGTGGAGAAGAGAGGGAAGAGTACCATGCTTGTGAAATGGTCAGCTGGTTTCCAGTGTTGTTCATGATAGCGTTACTTTTCACTGTAACAACTTTGATTACCAATGAGTAAATTAGAAAAAACATTTCCTTCACCTGTTTTCTTCATCATTTGGCACTTTGATCAAATGAGTAGACTTTTTGGAATATTTGAAAACAGACGTGTTTTAGTAAAGGCCCAGGGAGAAATTTTGATACAGCATGGCTGAGGGCAGGCGAGGTTTCACAATGCAGTTCTCATGTTCATTGTACTGCTGAGTTACAGGACAGGACAGGGCGTGGGGATTTATGGAGGGTTAATGGTGCATCGGTGAGCTGTTGAATACCCAGTCCTCATGGCTTATGTCCCAGAACTTGTGCTCATGAAACAATTACACCTAACGTGTTGGCTCTGTGTGTACGTTTTTAGAAACAGAAATGTTAGTGTTCTGTTTCTGGCTATATAGATAATTCCTTTTTTATTTTATTAATTTATTTGTTACCAGTCCTGGAGTTTGAACTCAGGGCCTGGGCGCTATCCTTGACTCTTTGTGCTCAAGGCTAGCACTCTACCACTTAAACCACAGCACCACTTACTACTTTTTCCTGAATAGTTCATTGGAGATAGGAGTCTCATGGATTTTCCTATCTGGGCTGGCTTTGAACCACACTCCTCAGATCTCAGCCTCCTGAGTAGCTGGGATTATAGGCATAAGCTATGAGTACTCAGCTCCAGCATTTTTGCTGATTAGATGGGGGGTCTCATGGCTTTAGACTTCAATCTTCTAGGTCTCAGCCTCCTGAGTAGCTAGGATTGTAGGTGTGTCCCACACTGGGTCCTACATGTCCTTAGAAAATTTAAAATATACCAATATTTGTATATGAATTTGTATATGAACTCAAGGCCTAAGTATTGCCCTTGAGCTTTCTCATTCAAGGCTAATACTCTATCCCTTCAACCACAGTTCCACTTTGGGCTTTTTTGGTGATTAATTAGAGATGAGTCTCACAGACTTGCCTGCCGAGGCTGGCCTTGAACCATGATCCTGAGATCTCAGCCACCTGAGTAGCTAGGATTATAAGCTTGAGCCGCCAATATCCTGCTCTGATAACTTTTTTTTTTTTTTTTTTGGCCTATTGTGGAGTTTGAACTCAGAACATGGGTACTACCCCCGAGCTTTTGTGCTCAAAGGTAGTGCTCTACTGCTTTGAGCCACAGCTCCACTTTGGGTTTCCTGGCGGATAGTTGGAGGTAAGAGTGTCACAGACTTTCCTGCCGAGGCTGATGTCAAATTACAATCCACAGAGCTCAGCCTCCCAAGTAGCTAGGGTTACAGGTGTGAGCTACCAGCTCTCAACTTGACGACATGGTGTTTCTTTGGTTTTTTGGCTTTTTAAACTAATTTTTTTATTGAGATTAAGTGATCACATAAATTTTACAATTTTCACTGTATTGTGGGAGAGTGATAGTTAAAGATAACATGGCTTTTAGCAGGCAAAAGTTAACTTGCAGGTAGCAAGTGTGTAGAAGTCAGGATACTAGGTGTGATACTATGGCATGAACTTGGCCAGTTGTATGAATGGACATCCTCTGGTGTCACCAGGCCTGCCACTCTAGCTGCATGCTCTGGTATCTGTTGACTCTGTGCTTCGAGCTTCTGCAGAGTCTGTGAGGAAGAGAAGGTTTCCCCTAGTCTCAGGTTCCATTGACATCTGGAGTTCTAGAGGCCTCCATGCTGGTTTCCTCTGTGCTTCTTTCTTCTATACAGTGTTGCTCCTGAGTTCTGGTCCATCCATGGCCTCCTTTTCACTCTTTGGCTGTATTTCCTTCCAGCCCCTTGTGCCCTGCACTGTAGACCTTACATGAGTTTCTGTTGTCTGTTCTTGCCAGCCCCTCCCTGCAGGTTGCTTGTTGAAATCATTTAGGAGCTGATTTAGACATTTCAGCAAGCACACGGGTCGCAGAACTGCAGTTCTCACCTGTGCTTGAGGTTGGGGTTCTACAAGTAGGCAAAGTGGTAGAAGGCGTGACTTACTACGGAACTGGACATGAGCTGTTCCTCCCTCATCCAGGCAGCTGAGTCTCTATTCTGGCAACTTACATTTATAAACTAATACCAGCTCGTGGAGAATGGCTTTGTCCTGTTTCCCTATCACTTAGAGACAGAAGAATGTGGAAAGCATATTTCTTTTCCATAGTAGTTGGACAGGATTTTAAGTCTTGAGTCTCTTGTGGTTAAAACAAAACAAAACAAATTTCTCTCATCCTCCAACCCTTGCCTTTTGCCCAGCTATGATTTATAAGACTGAAGTGTTGCTAATCTTTAAACAATACCAGAGGGATATGATTTCCTAACACCCTTAATGCATTTGACAAGAGAGCATCACGAAACACATACTCCTTAAGTGTTTTCTGAGCTTTCTTACAAGGCTGTCAGCAGAATGGATAATTTAAGAGTAGAATGGCCCAAGGAAAGAAGAAAATAGTTTTCTTAATTCCAAAACAGTTGCTATTAGAAACATTTCTTCCCTCCAAGGGACGATGTAAGCTCAAGCATTTTTGCATATGCATTTACTTTGTAAAAAAAAAATTTTTTTTAAGTGGAGGAAAGTGAAGTTAACAGTTTTGAAAAGCATGTCAGTTGGTCATTGTCTGTACTGAGAGACAGACAGACAGACAGAGAAGAGAGACAGACTGCCTGAGAAGTCAGTTTAAAAACAAGGACAGTTGCTTGCTGTTGGCTTATGGTTTCAGAGGTTCCAGTTTCTGGTTACTTAGTGCTTTTGCTTTAGGCCACAGCTGCACAGGTCAGCATGGAGCACATAACAAAGGAGCCCGCTCTCCTTGGGGTGGCCAGAAAACCGAGAGAAAGAGCGGAAGGTATTGGAGGCCCAGCAGCCCCTTCATAGACACATAGCCAATGACCTACCCTCCTCCCATGGGGAGTCACTTTCTTGAAGGTTCCACCATCTCGCAGAAGTGTGACAGACTGGCAAACAAGTCCATTATACAGGGAGACACTCTCTGAAGTTAGTGTCTTAAAATGTTATTTCTTAGTTTGGATAGAAAAGTGATCGTATGACTTGTACAAGAGGGATTTGTATGTGTATGTTTGTGTGTGTGTGTGTGTGTGTGTGTGTGTGTGTGTGTGTGTGTATGTATACATGTGCTATCCCTGGGCACCATCCCTGAGCTTTTGTGCTCAAGGCTAGCACATGTATTGTCTGGTAAAAATTGTAGAGCCTTCTATAAGATGAAGCCCACACCACTGGGTCAGAAATCACAAGTTTAGATTGATTGATAGATAACAAAGTCTATGTCCTTTCTTCCGAGCATAGTTTTGCTATAATCATTTAAAGGGGCACTCTATGTACCAAGCACTTCCTATTCCCAGTCACCTTTCATCTCACAAAATTCTGTGAGGTTGGTTTGACCCATACTAATCACCATGCCCAAAGTCAGGATAACACGTAAGAGGAGGCATGAGGTGGACTGCTAATGTCTATATCTCAACACTGCCACTCCATCTCACTGTATAACCTCAGCTGGCCTTGAACTTACGATACTCTTACATCTGCCTCCCCAGTATTGGGATTACAGGTGTGCACCACCATGCCCAGTTAATGCCTTTGTGTGTGTGTGCGTGTATGCGCGCACGCGCCAGTCCTGGTGCTTGAACTTAACAGCCTAGGTGCTGTCCCTGAGCACTTTTGCCCAAGCCTAGCAGTCATAGCTCCACTTGTGGCTTTTTTGGAGTAATATATTGAAGATCAGAGTCCTAGGGACTTTTTTACCCAAACTGACTTCAAATCACAATCCTCAGATCTTAGCCTCCTGAGTAGCTAGGATTATAGACCTGAGATACTGGTGCCTAGTCACTTTTTTTTTCCCCTTTAACCACATAAAAAAAAAGGATGCTGTAGTTGGTTGAGAAGACTTATGTGCCTAGATGTTTCTCTGGTTCACAGTGGCGTGTGGTTTATGAAAGCAAGTTAATAGCTCTAAGTTAATAGCTTAGATATGCATTTCTCTGATCTAAAGTACAAAACAGGCCCAACTGAGAGCCAGCCCAGGGCCATGTCAGAGGTGGCCCTATAGCTGTCCCTTGTCTTCCTCGGGTGAAAATGAGATTCAGGTTGCTAGATTCTCACAAGGGGCACACGGTGGGTTACCAGTGGCCCCATGCTGACAGCTCTGCTTTTCCTCTCTTATTTCTCTCAGGGAAGCTCAGCGGGGGTCCTTCCAGGGCTCACCACAGTGGACTCATCGCAGAAGGTGAAGTGCAGCTCCTTGCTGCAGCTCTGCGAATTCAGGTTTGTTTGACACTGAGATTTGACCGTTTAGAGGTCAGGAACAGAGGGTGTGAGGATTCACCTCTGCTAACGTTCTTTCAGGCCTCTCCTGTGTCTCAGGAACAGCGGTAAACTCTTTACACACCTAGTGTGAAGCCCATCTGATAAATGAGGAAATGGAGACTTCTACAAACTATGCTTCTTGCGACATATATGGGGTAGAGATCCAGATTAGGGTCTGTGAAATAGTGAGCTCCCCCAAATACGGCAACTGAAAGCAACGAGCATTTGCCATCTCATAGTTAACATGGCTGAGGGAGGGGTGGGGAGCTGCCTGGTTCTGGCTCCGCCCCTCAAGCAGATGGTGGCAAGATGTCAGCTGGCGCTTCAGTCACCTGAAGGCTTGGCTGTTGGCTCATGACATTTAGTTCCTCTCTGGCTGTAAGCAGGGTGTCCATTAGTTCCTCATCATGTGGACCTCCCACACACAGATCTGTCCTCTTTCCTGTTTGTTTGAAGTTCATATTCTAGGGGAACAGAATTAAGCCCACCTCCTATAGGCAAGCTATGATGAAATTTATTGATATCTCTGTGTGTGTGTGTGTGTGTGTGTGTTTGTGCGTGTGTGTGTGTGCATGCCACTTGAGCCACACTTTAACTTTTTGTCTTTTTGGTGGTTAATGGTAAATAAAAGTCTCATAGACTTTTCTACCCTGCCTGGCTTTGAACTGTGATCCTCAGATCTCATCCTCCTGAGTAACAGGATTACAGAAATGAACCACTGGCTCCCAGTAAAGGGTAGTATTTTAAGTAGTATTTCAAACAAAGCTAGGCATCCGAGCTGATCTTGCGTGCAATCATGTTTTCCTTATTTTTCAAGTGAAACCCACAAGCCTAATTAGATGTGAATGAAATGATAGCTACTCCTGTCTTGGATGATTGTCTGATGGCAGTCCCCAGTGACAGTGCTCCCCGGTGCATGCGCAGACCCTGGTGGCTCACTCCCGTTCCATCTGTCTTCTCGCCCTCTCTGTAGAACATGGTGAGCTGTGGCAGGCGGTGGCTCCGAGAACAACAGCACAGGAGATGGAGACTCCACTGCCTGAAACTGCAGCCTCTGTCCCCTGTTCCAAGGTAACACAGTGCTCTGCTTCCACCAATGGCAGCTCGTTAAAGCCCTAGCTCTCCGGGTTGTCATTGGGTGGGGACACAGCTCATGAGACTTTGAATTTGGTAGCAGATCACTTTCTCCAGTCATCCAGTTGCCCCGCTATGTGCTCTATCATAAAATCCTCCCAAAAGTAAATCATGGTGAACAAGGTTGCAGTGTTCTATCAATCCTAAAAACACATTATTTCGTTCCAGTCCTATATTAAGTAGCTATGTTTTGTTTTCTTCCTCATGTTCCAGAAGATGGTAGCCTTAGATTTGACAGAATATACTACTATGCTTATCGGGGCTAGATCTATATGCCCAGCACATAGATCACCTTGGGTTGAAAGGTCAGTAGGTTTCTACTGTAGGGATGTTTCTCACCAGAGCAAATAGCAACCCCTGTAGGGTCCCCTAGGAACTGCATTCGGAATCTTCAGAACTGTTTGATAGGGTACTCTGTAGTGAACGAGGTGGATACTCTTTTCAGAATAGTATTTAATGAGGTCTAAGCTACATATTCTCTTTGGATAAATGTACAGTTGCCAACCACAGGGCCTAATTTTGGAATACTGAGATCAGTTAGACTAATATCAGACTTTAAAAAAAAATTCATCTTTCAGTCTTGTAATGAGTCATCCATCTGCCCCATCCCAGTGAATTGGCCCTGTCTCTGTACCCAGGTGCATCATGCCAGAACATCGGAGATAATCCCATCTGGCAACACGGGGAAACTCCAAGTGTTAAACAGATAAGACCTTCAGTCATTTACCAGATTTTTCAGTGGATAATCAGTTGCTTTTTAGAATTACTCTATGTTCCCTTGGGTGGCCAAATGACCACTGTAATTCAGTCATCCCCTGTAGCTCGTTTTCACTCCCATGGCAGACTAAACATCTTAGTCTTGGTCTGTGTTTATTAGCACATAAATCCCAGTGAACAGTGTTATTCTTTGTAAGGTTATCTTGTAGTTGTGCAATTGGATTCACAAAATATCATACTTTTTCTAGTGATCTATAAGACCTTAGTTTTTACAAGTAAATCAATAAGTTGTACTTACAGAGAGCTTGAGAGATGAGGATAGATGCCACTCAATTATGTATCAGTCTTTCAAAGTAAATTCTGCTTGGGGAAGGGACAGGGGTTGAAGATGGTTATTTGGTCCATTAACCAAATTTGACTTCTAGAGCCAAAAAAATCTGAATAATCTAGGCTGCCTAGACCTATGTCTCAAAAAGAAAAAATTATCTCACTGTTCTGTAACTCATTAGTGAACGAGGAGAAAACTGGACAGTTTCCAAGAGAAGGCTCTTCAATTTAAATTATGGTAAGAAGAGAAGAACAGGAAATACACATCTACACGTATACATACACACACACACACACACACACATCTTGCTATATGATTGAGAAGGTGAAATGAAGTAATAATTTAGAAGGTACGATTGAACAAACCCTGTGCTAGGTAGCCTGGGGATTGCCTGGAGGAAGCCAGCCGGGAGCTCAGCCGCCAGGCCCAGCTGGAGCATGGTGCTCTATTAGGACTCATCCTTGCACAAGTTGTACACAATGCCTTCTCACCAAGACACAGGAGTTACCCATGTGCCTGGACACAATTCTGGAATGGTGGTACGGGTTTTAAGAGTCCCATCTCCTGGAAACTTTCTCACGTATATGAATTGTTTGCAGTTGCAATTAGACTGTCTGGAAGAAGGGACCACAGAGCACTTGGGTTGATTTAATCATTGGCATGGTATGAGATTGTTTTCCCTGCTAGCAATGACCACCTAAGCTGAGGAGAAGTTGCTCCCTTTGTGTTTCTTTTCCCCCAGTGATATTGAGATTTCAAGAGGACAGACTCCAAAAGCCGTGGATGTCCTTGCCAAGGAGATAGGATTGCTTGCAGATGAAATTGAAATCTATGGGAAAAGCAAAGCCAAAGTCCGACTGTCCCTGCTGGAAAGGCTGAAGGATCAAGCGGATGGAAAATATGTCTTAGTTGCTGGGTAAGACTACGTTTAAAATCTGCTCCACCGAGGAGACGTGTTCACAAAGCCGCCTTCCATACTAATTTCTTTCCTCTACCCATCACTTCCATCTAATTCTCAAATTCATCCATTTCACTTATTTTCCCCTAATTTGGCACAGGTAAAAGCTTTTTTGCAGGAGTGAGCAAGCTCCTCCATGAAGTATAAACTGAAACAAATTGCTAATCAGTACTTTATTTTTGATTTCTCATGTCAGGTTGTGATCAGCCCTGTTCTCCTTGAGCTTTTTAATTTGTTTTTTCATGGTACAAATGAAAATAAGAATTGGAAATATATTACCTTGAACTAAACAAGGATTTGGGATGTTTGGTGGTTGTTTTCTATTTTACTTAGAAATAATATTTTTTTGTTTGTTTGTTTGGTATGTGCCAGTACTAGGGCTTGAACTCAAGACCTAGCATTCTCACTTGGCTTTTCCACTCAGGATTGGTACTCTACCACTTGAGCCCCATCTCTGCTTCTGGCTGTTTTGCTAATTAGTTGGCGATAGAATCTCTTCGATTTTCCTCCCAGGCTGGCTTTGACCATGATCCTCAGATCTTAGCCTCCTGAGTAACTAGGAATGCAGCTGTGAGCCACCATACCTGGCTAGAAGTAATATTTCAAAATGTTCCACTAATCGTAGGACCCCTCTATTTTCTCATTAACACCCTTATTCTTTGTTTTCTATATATTTACATTGCAAAGCCTCATGGTCTCTCTCCCCTTTTCTGACATTTCAAAAGTAACCTTGGGCCAGGTACAGGTGGCTCACACCTGTAATCCCAGCTACTCAGGAGGCTCAGATCTGAGGATCATGGTTCAAAACCAGCCTGACTAGGAAAGTCCATGAAATTCTTATCTCCAATTAACCAGCAAAGACCAGAAGTAGAGTTGTGGCGCAAGTAGTAGAGCCTTGCCTTAAACAGCCACAAAAAGAAAAAACTCAGGGACAGCACCCAGACCCTAAGCTCAAGCCCCAGGACCAGCACATACCAAACAAAAAAACACAAAACAGTAATACCGAGCTATTTTCATTTGTGTCAAATATTTTATGGAAGACAAATTCACAATATTTGTCAGAAGGAGCATTTGCTTTTTTCCCCATTTTCAAGAAAGAAATCAAATCACAAGCTGAAAAGATGCTTTAAAAGAAACAAAGGATTTGAACAATTTATTCAGCGTGACCCAAGGGAACTCTAAGGGCCGAATAAATTCTTGTTTGTGCTGACATTTCATTGCATTGACCTTTGCCTAAACCCAGGCTTAAAGCACAAAACGTATTTGGGAGGCAGAGACATTTCTTCTAACTGGACTTGACTCATAATGAACTTTGTTTTAAAATAATAGTCATCATAATGTTCTTTCTGTTTGCTGATTATTTTTTTAAATATATTTTCTCTCACTGTAAAAATATTTTAAAATACAGAAAATAAAGGCAGGCTCTGATGGCCCATACCTGTAATCCTAGCTACTCAGGAGGTCGAGATATAAAGATCACAGTTTAAAGCCAACCTGGTCACAAAAGTCCATGAGTCTCCTAACCCAATTAATCACCAGAAGGCTGGCAGTGGAGCTATGGCCCAAGTTGTAGGGCACTGGCCTTCAACAAAAGGCTCTCAAGGCCCTGAGTTCAAGCCTCAGCTCTACTTCTGCTTTTGTAGTGATACTGTATATAAGAATCTTAGGGATTACAAATGTGAGCCACCTGTAACTGGCCCAGTGTTACTTTTGAAATGTCAGAAAATAGGGCTGGGAAGGAGGCTCAGTGGTAGAGTGCTTGCCCTGCATGCATGAGGCCGTGGGTTTGATACCTCAGCACTACATAAGCAGAAAAAGCTGGAAGTGGTGCTGTGGCTCAAGTGGTAGAGCGCTAGCCTTGAGCTAAAGAGCTGAGGGACAGCACCTAGGCCCAGAGTTCAAGCCCCACGACTGACCCCCCACCCCAAAAAAAAAAAAAGAGAGAGAGAAATCTCAGAAAATAAGCAAGAGAGTCTGGGAAGGTGGCTCAGTGGTAGAGTGCTTGCCTTGCATGCATGAGGCCCTGGGTTTGATTCCTCAGCACCACATAAGCAAAAAGAAAAAAGCCAGAGTGGCGCTGTGGCTCAAGTGGTAGAGCGCTAGCCTTGAGCTGAAGAGCTGAGGGACAGCGCCCAGGCCCAGAGTTCAGGCCCCACGACTGGACCCCCTCCCCCCCCCAAAAAAAGAAAATAAAACAAGAATGTCTAATGCCCCAAATTCTACTATCGAAAGAACCTTCCAGAAGTAAGATCATTCCTCCTGTGCTATGGGGCTTCCTTCTGGGACTGTGTGCAGTACCATGCTGTGTGAGAGTGTGGAGTATTACTGTTTGGATGATCAAATGATAAAAACCCCAGAGCTCCTGTCCCAGCTTCCCAGAGGAAGCATGGTCTGCTTCCCCAAGACTCGGCAGCACGATCATCTCTGTGGGCCTCTTTGTAGAGTCTAGAGTGTGTTTATTATTCAAGGCTAGAGAGTATAGTGTGATTTTTTTTTTTCTTCAAGAGTATTAAGGCAGAAGAATGACTTGAAAATCTGGCAGGGATAAGCCCTAGTGCCCACTAAAATTAGTTGGTTTAGGCCATTGTGAACAGGGCTAGGATGAACAGCATGGACCACAATGGGCATGCATGTTTGTGCATTTGTCTAATCATCGCCTTAGGAAGTATCTCCAGAAGTGAATTCCTCCCTTACCTACCCTGGGCTGGCTCAGGATCTCTGCAGACACTAAAATCTGTGGATGGCCCTGCTATGAATTGGCATATTGCCAGGCATTGATGGTTCATGCCTGTATTCCTAGCTTTTGGGAATCTTAAGATCTGAGCATCAAAGTTTAAAGCCCTCCCAGGCAGAAAAAGCCATGAGACTCTCATCTCCAATTAACCATCAAAAAGCCAAAGTAGAAGTTTGACTTAAATGGGAGAGCTCCAGCCTTGAGCAAAAAAAGCCAAGTGAGAGTACACAGCTCTTAGTTCAAGTCCCAATACTTGCATGAAGAGAAAAACAAAATGGCCTACTATTTGCATACAACCTACATACATTCTCCTGTATATCTTTTTTTTTTTTGGGGGGGGGTCCAGTTGTGGGGCCTGAACTCTGGGCCTGGGCACTGTCCCTCAGCTCTTCAGCTCAAGGCTAATGCTCTACCACTTGAGCCACCTTCCCAGCCCCTCTCCTGAATATCTTAAATCAACTCTGGACTGCTTACAGTGCCTAACACAGTACAAATGCTAAGCAGGTTCTTGCTATATTGTCTAGAGAATAATGACCTAAAACTGTCTGCACATATCCAATACAGTTTCTTTCCCAATATTTTGGTACAGCTCTTGAGAAGCCTGTGGCTTCCTCCTCTCTTCCTGGGCTCACTGCACGTTCTTTCACCACCTAGGACCTCATCCCTGACAACCCCACGACTGAGCAGCTGACGGGAGATGTAGGCCCTCCCTGCAGGTCAGCTGTGGGTCTTCGGAGCATGTGTTTAGTCAGTGTTGCTTTTCTGGAAGTATGATGTCAGTTTATTTGCATTGACTAAGCACACTCTTGCTTTGTGTTTCCCTGCTTTAGATAAACTTGGTAGGTGCATTTGCTAAGTTTCCCTCTGTTTAAGATGGGAGGATTTCACCAAGACCTGATGTAGCTCAGTGATAGAGCCCTTGCCAGCTTTGGTGAGCCTTTGGGTTCAATCACTAGTAAAGAGAAAGGACTATGTTGTTAAAAATCACATTATTTATAGAAATTTCCAGAAAGCACGTGTGTATAAAAGAAGGAAAAGTCACATAGCAGTTTCTCTTAGGAGGTGGTGATTCACTCAATTTGTGCCTGACCATTTAGGATAACGACACCAATCTAGACGTGGCTTTCCTTGAACTGGGAACACAGAATTGCCACTTGTAAAGCAAAAGCAAGGGTAATTGTTTTTATTTGGTTCCAAACCTGGAGTCACCAGCCAGGCGTGGCTTCTAGCCACATGCTAGATGCTGCTAGCTCCCATGGCAGACGGGGCCTCGGCCGATGTCAGTTGTGCATAGCAAAGCCTCTGCACTGTCCTATGCCAGCATGCATCTGTGCAGCCGAGCTGAAGCCAGCCTGCCACGTCAGTAGAAGTGAAAATTGAACCTGGATTGCAAGTACAGATTTAACAACAGATAGTCCTGAACTAGTGATGCATGTTCCATACTTAACAGACCTATAGAGCAAACAAAAACTAAATGTTCTTCCTTTGCAACTGCATGCAAAGCTGCCCTCTGAGGATACAACTCTGAGATCGATGTGGCTTGAAGATTTCTAGACAATATATACGCCCCAGGCATTCTGTAATGGGGGAATTCGCCATCTCTCCTCCCCCATAAGATAAATCGTATTTTTTTAAACGGGTAAATCCTTTAGTAACTGGATAACTAGTTTAAAGCATAGAGAAATATTTTACTTAAGTCTATAAGAATCACCTTGATATTTTTACTTTGGGTTAGTAAAAAACAAAGGGATAATTGACTCCTTTGTGTGTGTGTGTGTGTGTGTTTGTTTTTGTGCCAGGCTTGGTGCTTGAACTCAGGGCCTAGACACTGTCCCTGAGCTTTTTGCTCAAAGCTATGCTCTCCCACTTGAGCCATAGCTCTACTTCTGATTCTTTGATGATTAATTAGAGAAAGGAATATCTCTGATTGGTGTGCCCAGCTTGGCTTTTAACTGCAATCCTCAGATCTCAGCCTCCTGCCTAACTAGGATTATACACAGAGCCACCAGCACCCAACAACATTAACAACTCTTACAGGCACTGTTGCAAGTTCTTAAAAAGTATAATGACCCCTCCATCAAATGGAGAATTTCTCAGAAAATCTTGTTCTGAAATGACTATGAATGTTTAACATATAGACCAGTAAAAGGGAGAAAACAGTCCCTGTTACTCAGAAGCGTTTAATTTTCAGAATATTTTCTTCCAAGATTTCATCCACACATCGGTCCTTCTCGCACCTTCCAGTCATTACCATTTTGTGTCTGTAACATAAATCTTGCGCCTCTACGTTAGAAGAATGCTGATACCCAAGACGTTTTTCAATAAACCTAAATCACAATACTTTCGTTATTGAACATTTGAATAATGTGTAAAGGGGATTTAAATATATTAATAGCGAGATTAAAAAAAACCACACACCTTATATCATTAATAACCCCAAATGCGAAACAGACTGGTTTTGCAAAGCTCTTCTTGTGACCGCAGGGTTTCTGTGCAGTGTGGGTCATCTGTCTTCCATCATCTCCGCATCGCCTGGCTTTCCCACCTACACATGACTATTTGCTTTGCCTGACAAAATGAAAAGTATTGGGAATTGTTCAAGGAAAGATGCCAAAAGAATCTTCGGGGCTCTTGAGTTTTACATATTTTCCCAGTTACACTAATGAAAAGGAATTTTGTTTGAGAACTTGACACAGAGCGCAGCTGCAGGGCATTCGAATGTGTACTTGGCCTCTCACAGCTCCTCGCTGAATTCCCATGCAGAATATTCTAGAATTCAGTTGCCTGGACAGAGCAGTCAAAAAAAGTAAGCCAGAAGTGGTAGGTGAATGCACTCAATTTTACATTGAAGAAGAATGAAGGTCGTGTTGTCATTTCTCCTTTTTTTTTTTTTTTTTTGCCTCTGAATCCTAAGTAAATATCTGTTGAGTTTTTCTTATTTGTACTATTTGCAGAATAGAACAAAGGGATTTAGGGAGAAATATAACCAAATGGACTATGGAGTTTATGGTTAGATAGTAAAAGGCTTTCATCATAAATCATACCAGTGCCATGATAAAGGATACACATTCACAGGTTGATGGAACATTTTGTTTTAGAGTTCATGGTTAGGCCATGGCCAAGCCATTGATCCTGCCCAACAGGTTCCTGGCTTAAGAGAACCTTCCCGCTTTACCCCTTGCTTCTATGTAAACAGTCTCTTGGCTTTAGATTGTATCTAGATTGTCACAGAGCACTTTGGCAAATCTTTACCATAGTTGACAGTAAATACTATTTGTCTAAGGAAAGGCACCATTAGATCATCCAGTGTGCCTCCGACAGGCAGCAGAGGAAAAGAAGTGAATATTGTTCTTTCCCTAGTAAGTTTATTATAATCTATCTGAAAAATCATAAAAATCACACAATAAATTCTTTGGGTACCAAGAACTGGTGGCTCATGCCTGTAATCGTAGCTATTCAAGGGACTAAGCTCTAAGGACCATAGTTTAAAGCCAGCTTAGGCAGGAAAGTCTGTGAGACTATCTCCAATTAACCAGCAAAACCACAAAAATAGAGCTGTGCTTTAAGTGGTAGACTACCAGCCTTGAGCAGAAAAGCCAAGCAAGAGCACAAGGTCTGAGATCAAGTCTCCATAATGACAAAAAAAGAATAAAAATAAAATTAATAAATAAATGCTGTGGGGTTGGCGTGGGGTGGTATACACAAATGTGTAAGTTATACAAAATCACACCAACCTCGCCATACACTACATTGTTGTAGAACTAGGAAAAGAAATACAATGAATTCAATGATGCTTCTTTTTGAAATCAACTTGTTTGTTTGAGCTAAGTCCAAAGGGAAAAGAATTAAACAGTTTTGGTATCTAATGCAGGAAGAGGGTAAAATAAATTTTTTTATTGCAACTTTCCTTTTGTGGCTTCCAATAAATGTATCCTACTTTTCTGATTTCCCTGAGTTGTATTCATTGGCAGCAAGTTGCACAGTCCCTGTGTTTCTAATTAAGAGCTGGATCCCGGCTGCTGTTTTGAGGCGATCATGGCTGGGCGGGTCTGCCGTTGGCTGTCTCCTCCAGCTCGGCTAGCACATCCTTGGGAAAGAAAATGGTATTGTTCGTATAACATGGATAAAGTTTCCCACTGACTGCTTTGCAAACAGCAGATGCCGATGGGGTTCATCTACTGTACTGTGTGTGGTACTATGTAGGTTGCCATGCCTTGGCAACTGCTTTTATTTACTCTGTGTGTGTGTGTGTGTGTGTGTGTGTGTGAAAACGCACAACTAGACAGTTAACTCAAAGTCAAAATGCTCTGTGACTCTGAGCCTTCTCATTGGCCCCGCTCCATCTATGTTGTTGGACAGATGCTGCAGGGTCGACTGATCAGCCTTGGGACTGGAGAGCCTGAGGTTTGAGTCACCATGTGGACTTCCAATTGACTGCCACAGCCATCCATCCCCAGTGACTTCCGTGTTCCTAAGTCAACTGATGCTTCATGGCCTTAGCCCGCTTCAGACCCCGCTGGCCTGCAAATGTCTTCACTTCCATGGCCCTCATCTCTCCTCTCCTCTGTCACCACCTGCTTCCGTCTCTGGGGTTCTGTTCTTTTACACTGTTGCTTAGATTCCCTTTGGACTCCAGTGGTGCCTTCAAGGAAAATGTATGCAGCCATTCTGTTCCAGTCCCTTATTTTTCTCAGTCCCCGTCCCTGGGCCATTTTTTCCCATTGCTTGCTTGCTTGCTTGCTTTATATTTATCTATAGTGTGTGTGTGTGTGTGTGCGCGCGCGCGCGCGCGCGTGTGTGTGTGTGTGCGTGCCCGCCCGCCCACCCGCACATGGGCCGCACACACGCATACACGCGTGCATGCGCCAGTATTAAGACCTGAACTCAAGGCCTTGTATTTTCACTTGGCTTCACTCAAGCCTGATACTCTTATCAACTGAGCCACACTTCTACTTCTGGCTTTTTGCTGGTTAGTTGAAGGGAAGAGTTTATAGAGACTTTTCTGACTTCAAACCATGATCCTTAATTCTCAGCCTCCTGAGTAGCTAGAATTACAGGCGTGAGCCACTGACGCCCAACTAGCCTTCCTGTCCTTGTACTTAAAGGGCTGCTGTGTGAGAAGGGATGGACTTAGTACAGGACTCCTGGGAAGCAGTGGGAATCCAGATGTTGCCTTCAGAGAGAAAAGAGTGCTTTCGAAGCGTAAACTCTGTGTGGAGATGACTGAGACACTTCAGTGGTGGGGACGCATCGTGGGAACACGCAGAGGGGTGGGAAGGGAAATGTAGGATCTCTTCTACTCCTGGGAGTCTGACTGCCTCATTCACCTGAGGATCTTTGAGCCTGGTCGTTTCCCAAATAAATGGTGCTGAAATGCCAAGCTTCCCCCAGCAAAAGACACCGACTTAGAAGTGTGAACCACTTCATTGGCAGCTCCATGCGATCTCTTGGAATGAATGACGTTCACGTCACTACCCAATCACTTTATTCTTTAGCCCCTTTTCTCTTTCCTTTCTTGTGTCTCTCTCTTGACTTTAGCCTAAGCATGGTGTGAATGGTGAGGGGAGGGGCGGGTGGCCAAGAACCTGAATCTCCAAGTGCATCTGTGCAAGGGGTTGATTCACTACCTCTTGTTTACACCTCCAATTTGGACCTGGTGTCTCAGGGCGGTTGAATGTGGATTGTCTTACAAATATGGTTACTGACTTCCTCGTCCCTCTTCAGGATCACACCCACACCCCTGGGAGAAGGGAAGAGCACAGTGACCGTGGGCCTGGTGCAGGCGCTCACCGCCCACCTCAGGGTCAACTCCTTTGCCTGCCTCAGGCAGCCTTCCCAAGGACCCACCTTCGGAGTCAAAGGTATTAGCAACTGGTCTACTTTTATTTATTTATTTATTGCCAAACTGAAATGTATTAATGTAATGAAATGTGGGAGCAGAATTCAGGGACAAACAATATTTTTCTTTTCATCCAATCAATTCCCAAAGGTGGCCTTATTACTTAAACCTGAAGACCGTCATTGCTACCCCATTCTTCAGGCCCCAGTGGTGGGGGAAGGAGGAGGAGGAGGAGGATAATGTAGTTGTACTTAGGAGTTACCATTCCATAAGTCATCTTCTTGGTCAATGTCACACCTTTGATCCTTCTCCCCCATCTTCCCCCCCTCCCATCCCTACCCTCCAAACTAGTCTGTGATTTTATAACAACATTGCAGGAGGGAGGTGGAGGCAAAATGGTTAAAACTTTTAGAAGAAAGTTATCCATGCAGTTAAAACTTGTCAGAAGAAATTTGGGCACTGGTAGCTTACTTCTGTAATCCTATTTATACAAGGGGCTGAGGTCTGAGGGGCATGGTTCGAAGCCAGCTGAAGCAGGAAAAGTCAATGAGACTCTTTTATCTCCAATTAACCACCAAAAGCCAAGAATGGGGTTGTGGCTCAAGTGGTCAAGTGTCAGCCCGTGAGTGGAAAAAGCTAAGCAAAGAGCAGAGGCCCGTTGGAAGAATGGGTACCTATACATCCCTGCTGGGTCAGCAGGAAGAGGGAGAGGCTACTCCCTCAACTTCATCCACTTGGGGACAGGGGCATGGCGGAGGGAGCTGCAGGGTGGGGGATCTTCAGTGAGGCCCCCCAAAAGTGTTTCCTTGGCTCTGTTGTCCTGGCCTTGTGCTTCCTCCCTGTCTATTGGGCCGAGCGATGTTAAAACTGCCAGCTGTATGATGTGTTACCATCCCAGCCGCGGGGGAAGGGCTTTCCCTGTATTCGCTGAGGCGCCTGTGCACTTGGCCCCAAGTCTCGGCTCATGGGTGTGTCTGTGCAGGCCGAGCCTGGGGAGCGCTGAAGACGGGCTGGCTGCTCACTGAGCTGGGATGAAATTCCTCCCTGGCTCTGCGGGGCTGGTGTCTGGCATGTCCTGTGTATTACTCCTTCTGCATTGATTCATCATGAAGTCATCCCTGAGCTCACTTACAATAGCTCTATTGCTGCCATAACTGTGTGTTCTTGGCAGTGCGTCGTTTTTTTAGCTGGATTATGTCCATATCACTGTTACAAATATTAATAATTCCTAACTCATTAAGTACTGATACTATGGGAAGGGGTGTACATTACGTAGTGGAATGAGCCTTATCCTTTGGATTGAGAAAATGCAGGTTTGATTCACAGCTGTGTCTCTTACCGCTGTGTGACCTAGAGCCAGCCACGATATCTCTGAGCTTATTTGTTAAAATTGCAATTATGGTACCAAGCTGACCAGGTTATTGCAAGACAAGTGGGACTACATAGAACAGGATGCATTGCTAGGCAGGTACTCTACCACATTTTTCTTGCCGTGTGTGTGTGTGTGTGTGTGTGTGTGTGTGTGTGTGTGTGCGTGCGTGTGCGTGTGCACCAGGGCTTGAATTCAGGGTCTGGGCACTGTCCTTGAGTTTTTTTGTTCAAAGCTGGCACTCTACCGCTTGAGCCACAACTTCATTTTTGGCTTTTTGGTGTATAATTGGAGCTAAGAGTGTCATAGACAGCCCAGGCTGGCTTCGAACCGCCATCCTTAGAGCTCAGCTTCCTGAGTAGCTAAGATTGTAGGTGTGAACTCTCAGCACCTGGCACCTTTTGTTCCTTCCGGAGGCATCCCACGTGTCCACACCAGCCTCTGGACTGCAGTCCTTGACTTTGCGTTTCCGACGCCGCTGAGATGGCAGCGCTGTATCACTGTACCTGGCTTACAGGTGGTTTTTAACAAAGATGTTTGAAACTTCAACATATAATTTAGATGAAGCATAAGAACCTAGACCCAATAATTGATTTTTTAAAAATCTCCTATCCAAAGGTACATCTTCCAGTAATGATGATATTTGCTGTATTCTTTTTACTTTATTTTTGTGTTTTTTAGGCAGGGTCTCACTAGCTAATCCAGGCTGGCGTGGAGTTTACCAGCTCCTGCTGTGGTCTCCCAGGCGCTGGCATTACAAGCGTGCCCCATCTCACCTGGCTACCTTTGTTTTCCACACAAAGAAATGGGCATCTTGAAAATCCATAGCTGAACATAGTGTGAACTTTTGGCTTGTGACTTTCACAAGCTTACACATACCAGTGAACATTTGCTCCTGCTGGAATTTCATCGGGGGGGCGTGGCTTGCCTTGTCCCCAGGCCCCGTCCCTCCTGAGTGTGTGCCCTTGTGACTCACTTCTTGTCATTGTTCTGTTGTTTAGGGGGAGCGGCGGGTGGCGGATACGCCCAGGTCATCCCCATGGAGGAGGTGAGTCGCCAACATGCACACTACCAGTCCTTCTTCATGTCTCTGGGCCCGAAAGACCCGGAAACCCAAAAGCATTAGTGTAACTCACACAGTGGCAGCAGTCACCTTGCGGGTGGGAGCTGTGTCTGGGTTGTGCCCGCGTGAATTTGCTTTCTCATGACTTGCTGCTCCCACCCGGAGGGTGCACATCTAGACCCTGACTAGAGTATTTAATAAAGCACTATAGCGTGTCATACGACCTTTCTCAGTTCTACTGAGGTTTGCATTCCCAAACCCACGTGGTGTGGGAACTTTCAGAGACTTCAGCGTTACCCTGCGTCACACTGATTTAGACACCCCCCCTCGCCTCCTTCCCGTTAAGACATTGTGCTTCCCGGGGAAGATGGGCCTCGGGAACCTGCAATGACATCTGTTTCCCCAAGAACTTTCTCTTCATCCTCTGTGACCCTTCGCTGTCCCATTATCTCACTGATGCGCCATGCTTGTCCGTGCTAACCTGCCTTAGTCTCAAGGCCAACAGGACAGTAACAGGATGTAGGTTAGCTTTTCCAGGATTGTTCTGTCCCCTGTACCGAGAACAGACAAGGCCACTGCGCATGGCTTCCAACTGTCCAGTGAGGAGACTGAGGGTGGCCGTGAGGACAGAGAAAAGGATGACAACGTCTTGTTTGTTCCCTGATGTTTATGGGTTAGGTGTGAGGGTTGACAAGGCATGAGTCCAGAATGCAAATCCATGGAGTCATTTACTGAGATGGAGAAGCAAGGGCTGGCAGACGTGATGTTATGGCGGGGGATAAACAGTCATGGTTCAAAGCGAAGAGCCCTCTCTGGGGCCTAAAAGCCACCCCTGGAGGACAGCAGGTAGAAAGTTGAAACAAAAAGTAAATCCCAATGAGAAAATGGCCAAAGGGGTTCAAAGGGGTAAAAAAGCACTGGCATGGCAGCCTGGAAACCTGGCTGCTCTGGAGGCTGGAATCGAGAAGTGAATCTGAGACTCCATCTCCAACATGATCAGTAAAATACCTGGCTGAGGCGGTAAAGCATCAGCCAAGCAAGAATATGAAACATTAATATTGAAGCCCCTGAATTCAAACTGCAGTACAGACAAGACAGGAGGATGGGGGAGGGAGGGACTGTCAGTTACCATTTTACTCATCAAATTGCCAAAGATAGACTTTTAAAAATAGAAGTAATATGTCGGGCGCTGGTGGCTCAGGACTGTAATCCTAGCTACTCAGGAGGCTGAGAACAGAGGATCGAGGTTCAAAGTCAGCCTGGGTGGGAACATCTGAGAGACTCTTATCTCCAGTTAACCACCAGAAACCAGAAGTGGTGCTGTGGTTCAAGTGGTAGAGCGTTTGCCTTGAGCTAAAGAGCTGAGGGACAGCGCCCAGGCCTAGAGTTCAAGCCCCACGACTGACCAAAATTAAAAATGAAGTAATAGCAAATTTTGGCAAGAGCTTGCAGTGCGTGCACTGAGACCCTACTGAAGGGGTGTTGCTAAGGCTCTCTGGTAGGGAGGAGCGGCAATCGTGAGTGACTTTGAGGGAGGACTGACTTCTCAGGGAAGAAGCAGTGCACATAAGGAATGTGAATGTGAAGAAACTAGTCGTTCAATCCTGCACAATATCTCCCCTTGAGCTGGGTGCTCATGGCTCAGTCCTGAGATCTGGGGCTCACCAGGCAAGAAACCCTGTGAGACTCTTATCTACAATTAAGCACCAAAAAGCTGGAAGCAGAGCTGTTGTTCACGTAGTAGAATGTTAGCTGTGACTGAAAAAGCTAAAGGATATTTCTTAGGCTCTGCCTTCAAAAAAGAGAAAAAAAGTGAGAGAGAGAATATTGCACCATATTGAAAGGATTTGTGATGTACTGTGTCTCAAGTGGAAAATCTTGTCAGATGTGGGCCGTGTTTTGGACATTTAATCACCATGTTGTTTTATTGATCCAGGCAGCTTTTGATTACTGCCGGGGCTATTTAAAACAAATAGAAAGATGTTCCGTTTCATTTATAGTTCAACCTTCATTTGACCGGGGACATCCATGCCATTACTGCCGCCAATAATTTACTAGCTGCTGCCATTGACACCAGGATTTTGCATGAAAGCACTCAAACAGATAAGGTGAGGAGGATTCCTTGTTTGCTGTGTGAGGGAGGGTGATCTTACCCTGGGATTCCTGAGCCCTCACCGAGTTTGTGTTTTAGAGAGTCTGTAAGCTCTCTAAAATTTTGTACAGAATGGTATTCATTTTAGAGTCAGGTATGGTGGAACATGCTTGTGATTCCAGCTATTTGGAAGGGTAGAAATAGGAGAATTGTGGCTTAAGACCAACCCAGGTAAAATAAAAAGCAACAGCAAAAGTTAGTGTGAGATGACCTTTCAAAAAACAAGCTTTCATGACAAAGGTAGGAAGTATGAAGCTGGCTTCTTTCTTGAAGAAAGGGCCCATGGTTTGGTTAGATCCTCAAATGGGTTTAACAGTGCCCTCCTGTTAGAAGCGTTCTCCTGTCCTAGTTAAGTTAAACCTTATTCCAGATGAGTGTGTGGTTTTTAAAAGTAATTGATGCACAGGTCCAATCTCTAGAACATGAACAGATAACTTTTTTTTTTTTGGCTAGTTCTGGGACTTGAACTCAGGGGCCTGGGCACTGTCCCTGAGCTGCTTCGGCTCAAGTCTAGCACTTCACCCCTTGAGCTATAGCGCCACTTCCGGCTTATTCTGTTCATGTGGTACTGAGGAATGGAACCCAGGGCTTCATGCATGCTCGGCAAGCATTCTGCCACTAAGCCACATTCCCAGGCCTCAGATGTCTTTTTAAGATGAATGTTTTATGCTGCTGGCTTAGATATGCTGTTACAGAACTCAGTGGCCCTTGGATTCACCTGCATGCAGTCCAAAAGTTAATGCACAGTGCAAGTAACCAAGTTCCAGATTCCAGTCCTCTCACCACACTGTCCGTACACGAGAGGGTATTTTCTGGCGTGTTTTGCAGTAAGAAAATCTGCAGTTAAAGGAATTCCCTGGAGAGTCTTTGGAACATAAACCAGATAAGCATGAACTTGACAATTGTAATGCTGTAGATTGAGAAATATATTTATGGAAACTCTTGGCAATGTGCGTTATTTCAGCTTCAGGGGGTTTTATTAAGATGTTGGAGCTGGAAGTCTGCATGGTTTATTCGTCTCCCAACTTTTAGTAGGGCCTGTTTGGTTGTAAACACAAACTTTGCCATAATCCAAACTGTCCATGTGTGGTTGACCTCTTGACCTTCAGTGGGGTTTTCTTTTTGTTCTGCTTCCTTAGGCTCTATATAATCGGCTGGTTCCTTTAGTGAATGGCGTCAGAAAATTCTCAGAAATTCAACTTGCTCGGCTGAAAGTAAGTTTCTATTTCATGCTTTTTTTTGCCTTTTTTAAAGAAAATATCCTAGAAAGCTATCAGGAAGTTTTTGCCAAAGCCAGAGAAATGTTGAACTTGCCTTGATTTTGGTTTTCAGATACTCTTTTGGGTGTTAAACTCTAAAGAGACTGAAGAATATATCCGCCAGAGCTCAGGATTAGACACCTAACTCTGGATCGTAAACCAAAGAACCAGGTGAACCAACAATTAACTCTTTGAGGATTCATTTTCCTCATGTATGAAGAGGACTGTTTGCTAATCTACAACACCCTAATCAACTAACAAATAGCATTTGTATGTCTCCTCTAGCAAAGAGAAGCCTTTGGGGGATTTGTTACATTCCCCTGAAATGAGCTAACCTAGAAAATCCATCACCTGGTTTTGCTGCAGGGAGATGCTGCCTTTGTTCTTGCCCAAACTTCTGCATTCTCACCATGTCTTTGTCTCTAATGCTCTTTATGCTCGGTTCCCTACCCATTGCTTCCCCCAGGTGTCTGCCAGGGATTAAAATAGAACCCTTCATGGGATAAGGATGATGTAATGGTTTAAGACGATTATATAAGTAGTCTTAAAATTTTAACCATGAGCTGGGCGCCAGTGGCTCACGCCTGTAATCCTAGCTACTCAGGAAGCTGAGATCTGAGGGTCACAGTTCAAAGCCAGCCTGGGTAGGAAAGTCTGTGAGACTCTTTAATAAACCACCAGAAAACCGGAAGTGGTGCTGTGGCTCAAGTGGTAGAGTGCTAGCCTTGAGCTGAAGAGCTGAGGGACAGTGCCCAGACCCAGAGTTCAAGCCTCACGACTGACAAAAAACAATGACAACAACAACAACAAAAGAAAACCAGCCACAAACTGGTAGCTCACACATGTAATCATCCTAGCTACTCAGGACCCTGAGACCTGAGGCTCAATGTTCAAAGTCAGCTTGGGCATAAAAGTCATCAAGACTTTTACTGGTCAATCTCCAATTGACCAGTAAAAAGCCAGAAGAGAAAATGTGGTTCAAGTGGTAGAGTGAATGAAAAGCTAATTAAAAGCATGAGGTCCCCATTACACATATACACATACAATTCACCCCCTTTGTCGATTCACCCCTTTTTTCATGTGTGCTGCCTACCTATACAATCACACTTGTAATTCTAGCGCTCAGCTATGGCATAGGAATCTCAGGTCCAAGGCCAACCTGGGCTAGATAGCAAAATCCTGTCTTAATCTGTTCTACACTCCCGCCCCACATCCCCCAAATTTACCCCCTGGCTTGTTCTGAACCAACTTTAGTGTGGTGAGGGTAATGAATGATTCCATTCCTAGCAGCTCTGGCTGGCTAAGTTCCTCTTTTCTGGATCTTTTTATATACTTTGATTAAAAATAAATAAATATGCTTTCTTTTCCTCTTATTTATTCCTGCAAGACAAGGTCCAAACCAGACTTGCAATCCTCCTGCCTCAGTTTCCCAAGTACTGGGATTACAGGCATGTGACAGACACCACACCTGACTGAAAACCATTCTTAGGATGTTTTTACAAAAACCAGTATCTTTTTTCTCAGTGCATTACCAGTTCCTTGTTTTGAAACTGAGACCTGTGCTTTACTTGAATTGGTATTTGTATTTGCAAAGAACTTGAACCAAGGCCTCAGGTTCGTGCACAATGATTATGTTTCTTCCTCATGACTGGTGGCCACACAGAGCCACAGACCTAGGAGCCTCCACTGCCGCCATGCTGTGTGTGGCCAGCTGGACTCTACTGGCAGCCCTGTGGCTTTAAGAGTATTCCCGCTTGTAGAAGATATTTGGACTTTAACATGTGCTTTGACCTAATGTATGATCTATTCAAAATAAGATCTAGTTGTTTTGTTTTCTTTTAAGACACTACTAATAGTGGGGAAAATAAAAATCAGAGCATAATCTTGGCTGCCTTTTGGGTTCTCTTCCTTCCCTTACTCCTGGTATTTTTTTTTCTTAATTACTAGAAACTGGGGATAAGTAAGACGGATCCTAGTACACTGACAGAAGAGGAAGTGAGTAAATTTGCCAGACTCAACATTGACCCGTCCACCATCACGTGGCAGAGAGGTGGGTGATGAGACCCCGTCGTGGGCTGAGGAGCAGAGTGGGAGACAGACCAAGAGGATCCCACCCTTAGGTTAATTTGCAGTTTGGGGTTGGATTTTTCCCGTCCCTCCCCACCCCATTCAAAGCAAAAGCTTGATCTCTCTGGCCTCATCCAAAGGTGGTGGGGAAACTACTTCAATCTTTCTGGTTTCTATCCTCTTTGGCCTCTTATTTCCACATTTAAAATACCTTTTAGCAAGACCTGGGTGGACTCATGCCTGTTAGAATCCTAGCTGCTCAGGAATCTGAGATCTGAGGATTCCAGTTCAAAGCCAGCCCAGACAGGAAGTCCATGAGACTCACGGCTCCAATTAACCAGCAAAAGTCAGAAATGAAGCTGTGGTTCTAGGAAATGTCCTTCCTTCTTATGTATACAATAGTCCATGCGTTTTGCATGTGTGTGCATGCAGTGTTTATCCATTCATCTTTTGTTGAATAATTACTAATGCTTTTTGGTGTTTGTATACAGAGATGCTGTGGACAAGGGTGTAGAAATCTGCTCAAGTCCCTGCTTTTAGAATTGAATTACTGGGTCATGTGGCAGGTATAGGATTAACTTCTTGCGAAGCTGTATTGACTTCCTGTGATTTAGGATTAAGAGTAAAATATCACCCTTTTAGAAATACTTTTCCTTGCTGCCTAATTAAAAGTTCACTTCCCACCATGATCTAAAAACCAGTTTCCTGTTAACTCTTCTGACATCGTAGGTCCCTTACCACTAGCAATTTCCCTGAGGAAAACCCAACCTTTGTTTGATACTTCCTCTTTGTTGCTTCCTCAGCATCCTCTGTGGCCAGTCCAAGTTTGTCCATTGAGCCAATAATCTCTTTTCTTTCAGTATTGGACACCAATGACCGATTTCTGCGAAAAATAACGATTGGCCAGGCAAGCACGGAAAAGGGATGCTCCCGGCAGGTAGGTGGCGCTGTTTTCCTGGACTGTGACAGTCCTCACCCCCCAGCCCCTCCTCCTGCCCCCAGCGGCAGTGCCCAGTCACTAGAAGATTTCCAGTCCCTCCACAGGGCCCTCGGAGTGTACCAGAGGCAGGAAGTGCAGCATCCTCTTGCTGTGTGCGCCCAGTTGTGTCTGTGGGAAGAGCCATTCTGTGTGTTGGGAGATGGGGGCCAAAGGAGGGCTTTCCACATAAATTCCTATACATTTTATAGGAAATCCTCCCACTGGATACCAGATTGGCATAACAGCAAGAAAGTGAAAATCTACACACACACACACACACACACACACACACTCTACCTGGATTTCACTAATCAAAGAATAATTACCCAGTTATTAGGCTTAATAGTTTGTGGATGTTTTCAAAGGATAATGGCCTACTCCCCCAAACAGAGAAATGTGAGGCCTGCTTGCCTCTTCGAGCTCTGATGGGGTCAGTGTGCTTGGGGCACATAAAGTCATCCCATAATGTTTCAGCAGCCACAGCAGCCCTGTAAACGTTCCCCACCCTCCCCCTTATAAACTATATTTAGAGGCAGTTCTACCTTTATAACTTGTCCATCAACTTTTTTATTAGTGGAAAAAAAGGTATGAGTCCCTTTTACTGTAATAGTCAAAACCTATAGCACAGAGATGTTGGTAATTCTTACATATTTTTTTATTGTAAAGATACTGTACAGAAGGGTTACAGTGACATGAGTAAGGTAATGAGTACATTTCCGATTGAGCATTGTTGGTAATGAGTACATTTCCGATTGAGCATTGTTACCTCCTCCTTTGTTTTTCCTCTACCATCCCTTCCCTCCCCACCTTCCCAACCCCTCTCCTCCCTACCCCCAAGTTGTAAAGTTCGTTTTCAACATAATGTCTTGTACATCTCATTGTTACAAAGGGCCAACCTGTGTCCTTGTTTCAGCATTTTGTTATTTCCCTTCCCCTTCCCAAATTAGAAAAGTATATACAAGATGCAGAGCACTGGAATCAAACACAGTGACAACAAGGGTTATACCATGGGGGAAGAACTTACAAAAGAAACAAAATTACATAGTACATTAAAAACAACAGTGATAAAGATAAAACCTCTTGTGTTCCTATCTTGGGGTTCATTTCACTTAGCATCATTTTATATGGTCATGTACATAAGTGGGGTTTTTTGTTTTGTTTTGTTTTGTCAATTATGGGGCTTGAACTCTGGGCCTGGGTGCTGTCCCTCAGCTCTTCAGCTCAAGGTTAATGCTCTACCACTTGAGCCATAGTGCCACTTCTGGCTTTTTCTGCTTATGTGGTGCTGAGGAATTGAACCCAAGGCCTCATACATGCAAGACAAGAACTCTTACTATTGAGCTACCCTCCCAGCCCTGTACATAGCTTTTGACCTTTTCTGCTTGCCTAGTAAGATTATCCTAGTCATATACTAGTTGTTGCAAATAAGGGAACCCATGGGACTTATGTTTCTTTAGGTCTGACTTACTTCACTTAATATAATTTTTTCCAAGTCTCTCCATTTTCTAACAAGTTGGATGGTGTCATTCTATCTGATGGAGGCATAGAGTTCCATTGTGTATATATACCACATTTTCTTGGTCCATTCATCTACTGAGGGGCATCTGGGTTGGTTCCATATCTTAGCTATGGTGAATAATGCTGTGGTAAACAAAGTTGTGTTGGTATGGCCTTGTTTGTGATCATTTGGGTAAATGGCCAAAAGTAAGATTGCTGGGTCATAGGGGAGCTCTATTTGTAGTCTTTTGAGGAACCTCCATATTGCTTTCCAAAGTGGTTGAACAAGTTTATACTCCCACCAACAATGCAGTAGGGTTCCCTTTTGGCCGCATCCCCTCCAGCAACTGTTGTTATTAGATTTCTTGATTATAGCCATTCTAACTGGGCTGAGGTGGAATCTCAATGTTGTTTTGATTTGCATTTCTTTTATGGCTAGAGAAGTTGAACATTTCTTCATGTGTCTATTGGCCATTCTTATTTCCTCTTCAAAGAAGTCTCTCTTTAAGTGTTTAGCCCACTTACTAATGGGGCAGTTGTTTCTTTGTTGGGGGGTTTAATTTTTTCAGTTCCAAGTATATTTTAGATATGAGACCCTTGTTCATTATATGGCTAGTGAAGATCTCCCAATCCGTGGGCTTTCTGTTGATCTTGCTAGCTATGTCTTTGGCCATGCAGAAGTTTCATGCAATCCCACTTGTCCAGCCTTTCGACGTTGGCAATTTTTGAGATAAAAAGCAGTGCCAGTGTTTCACGCCTCTAATCCTAGCTACTCAGGAGGTTGAGATCTGAGGATCACCAGTTCGAAGCCAGCCTGTATAGAAAAGTCTGAGACTCTTATCTCCAACCAACCAGCAAAAAGCCAGAAGTGGAGCTTAGGGACAGTGCCTAGGCCCTGAGTTCAAGCGCCAGTATTGGCAGAAAAAAAGAAAGTGAAGTCAGGCTTGGATCAAGTTGACAGACTAAGTCCCTGCACCACCTGATTTGTTCCAAATGCTGGCACTCGCTTCTTTGCTCGACAGACCTCAGCCTTCCATGTCTGTGCAGTGAGGGGAGGGCGCAGAGAACCATTGATGGACAGATGTGTCAGGAAGGCTGCAGATAGAAAGAAAGGACAGCCGAGCACATGATTGGAACACAGGAGGGGCTTCCAAGTTCAGAGAGAAGAGGTCCATTGGTTCTCAGACAAGACTGGGAGAGGCAGCGCACTCCTCAGGGCTGGCAGCTAAGGACACAGCCTGTATCTGCGTGGGCCTCAGCCTGGGGCCTGAGTGTGGTTCTGACACCCAAAGGCCATTCACATCCCAGTGACAGACTTGTGTATGGGCCACACTGCTTGTTTGGCAGGAGTCAGTGTCTTGCACACAGGAAGCCGGCATGCGAGGAGAGGACAGCCCTCTGTCAGGTGTGGTTCGCACAGAGGGCCGCCGAGGCCCAGCAGCGGTCCTGGGAGAGGCTCCAGTGTGGGCCTGGAACTGCACAACCTGCCATGGTTAGTGACAGGCAGGCATTTGGAATCATCTCCACACTCAAGGCCAGGTCATGGCACTTCATGTTTAAAGAAACACACAGGGCCCAGCTGGTGGCTCCCATCTGAAATCCTGCTACTCAGACTGAGGTCTGAGGATTGAGGTTCAAAGCCAGCCCATGGAGAAAAGTCTGAGAGATTCTTATCTCCAATTGAAAAGAAGGAGTAGAGAGAGAAAGGAGAAAGGAAAGAGACAGACAAAGGGCAAAAATGAACAACAGTCCTCTCCTTAGCCCACATGATTTAGGTAGTAACATGAACGGTCTTTGACTTAGCCCCTCTTGACATTGACAGTATTACCAATAAACAACTTATACATGAATTATGAATTCTGCACATTTTTTGTTCAGTGGATATTGTAAGACGGTTCACAGCCTCATGTTTTGTACAGAAAAATCTCCATATTCCTAGTCGTTTTTTTCATCTGTTTTGTGGTGGTGGAGATGAGCTCTGCCTGGCACTGGCTCAGTAGATAGGGTTTGTGGTGACACGTTTGGCAAACCCCTACAGAGTAAATTCACTTGTGTTTGGGTCGAGCTGCGTTGAGTATCGTACTTGAACATCATTGCGTTTGATTTTCACGCGGGGCACGGCGGATGCAGTCTCAACCAGGAAGGAGCCAGAAAGCTGCTTCTTCGTTCATTTCCTCAGTTGTCCAGGGCAGACTTGGAAACTCAAGTCTCCCAAGGTGGTCCTACCGGGGATAGCCATTTTCCTCTGTGCACATTTGACCTTGTCTCATGCCCTCTTGGGGAAGAAGAGCATTAAGCTGGAGGTCAACCACATGGTTTTGTGCAGAGAAACTTCCTTAGGGGCTGGATTGTGATGAGGAGAGAGCACACGTTCCTCCTGTCCCTCCAGCTTCCCACTGGGCTGTGGACACCCTGGGACCAAGCCAAGGGAGGAACAGGAAATCCTGGGAACATTCTGGCTTTCCGGGCCAAGAGTGTTAGGATCTGATGGTCTCCTGAACAGCTGACAGGTCATTCAGAGCCACCTTTGACAGCTGCACTGAGGTCTAACTTTGAGGAACTTGTCAACCTATGTAGGAGCCTCTTCTCTTGTTTAAGCTTGACAGACGGACAGGCCGGCCCTAAGCACAGAAGTAGCCAGCAGGCTCTTCGTTGGTTCATTCGGAACATACCGAACACCTACTGCATGTCACACACAATCCTCCCTGCTGGGGATCAGAAGTGAACCCCCACACTGGGTGTGATGATGCATGCCTGTAATCCTGGCCAATCAAAAGGCCGAAACATGAGCATGGAGAGTTCCAGGCCAGCCTTGGTCCTGGGTAACAGGGCAAGAATCTCTGAAATACAAGTAAATTGTTAGGCATGGTCACCCATGCCTGTATCCTCAGCACTTAGGAGTCTGAGGCAAGAGGTTCATGAGTTTGAAGCCAACCTGGACCATATAGTAGGATCTTGTCTCCCAAATCAAAAGGTTAATAAATTAAAAATAAAGCCAACAGAAACAAGCCATGTGGACGCTGGGCATCCGCCTGGTTGGCGAGGCACATAGGATTTCATTAGTAGTCAGAGCCAGGCTACCGTGACTCACCACATGGAGCCATGAGCAGGTGTGGCGGGCATCGCCCCAACCCTGGGGCTCAGTGGAGCATGGTGGGCAGCCTGCTCACCTGGAGAGGTTATGTCAGGCACAAGCCCCTGTGCGCTCTGTGGGAGCACTGAGGCCCCCCTCCCCAGGTCTCTTCATGGCTAAAATCTGGCCACCCATGCGAACCGGAACCCCAGGAGTGCCTCCACTGACCATTGCCTTTGCTTTGCGGGTCCAGGCCCAGTTTGACATCGCTGTGGCCAGCGAGATCATGGCGGTGCTGGCCCTGACAGACAGCCTCGCGGACATGAAGGAGCGTCTAGGAAGAATGGTCGTGGCCAGCGACAAAAATGGGCAGCCTGTGACAGCAGAGGACTTGGTGAGTGCCACACAGAGTGCTCTGGGGCGTCCTTCCTCCCATCCGTACGTGCTGGGGATGCTGGGGATACCTGCTTCTTCCATGGCCTCACCGGCATTTTTCACCAGCTCGCCCTGACTAAAGTCAAGACACGCGAAATTATCTCCTAAGCTTCTGGTCATTCTTGCCACTCTTGAACCTTGCTTCTGCCAGAAATAAAAGGAAGTTCTTTTAAATTGTGTGTTCTAGGCTAGGCATAGTAGCATACCCCTATAATCCTACCTACTGGGGAGGCAGCGATAAGAAGATTGCAGTTACAGTTACTCTCTCTGATAGGGAGAGTAATATTAGTGAGACCTTTTCTTTAAAAAAAAAAAAGCTGAGTCAGACACCTACAACCCTAGCTACCCTGGCGGCTCTGATTGAGAAGATCACCGCTCAAGGCCAGCACAGGCAAAAGTTCATGAAATCCTGTTTGAATCAATAAAAGCCATGCGTCATTCCAGCTATGTGGAAAATGTAAATAGGAGGATGATGGCGTCGGCCAGCCTGTTCATAGCAGTCATACCGTCTCCAACAGCAAACTGGAGGATTGGCTCAGCAGGAGAGCACCTGCTCTGGCAAGCACAAAGTTCTGGGTTCAAACCCCAATACCAACACACACACGGAAGATAGGTCTGTGCTCTCTGCTGCCTTTTTTAGTTTGTATACTTATTTGCCACATTTTGTTTCTCTTAACCTGGGTGATGTTCTCCTTGCATGAAGTGACACACTGGGGTGTGAGGAGCCCCAGCAAGAGAGAGGAAAAAACACAGGCAGTCACTTACCTGTGTTGGCCCTGGAGAAATGTTCACCTCCTTCAGTCTCTTGGTCCGGGTCAGTTGGGTGGGATTTATTAGCCAGCTTCAAGTAAATTTGTTTGAAAGTGAAAGAAAAATGGTGACACTCTCCATCTAGAGTGGGTTCCAAAGAGGAGTCCATTGGCGTCTCCAGCGTGGTTATTATATAGCACAGGCTCCTCCCAGAGCTCTTCCCCTGCTCTTTGCACTGGTTGCTCTTTTCATTGGTTGAGCAGACACCCAGCGCATTATGGGAAGAAGAAGCGTTTGGGCAGGAGCATTTATAATGGATGCTTACATTTCTGACAGTAGCATTTTATATGGGAAGGTAGAACATTGATGGGGTTTGTAAATCTTAAAGGATTACAAGTATTATCAAAGTAGAAACGGATGACATGAGAGAAACATTTGGCGGTGATGGGGTTTAGGGGAGAGGTTGTGCGCCGTGCAGCGGGGAGGGATCCCTGGATCCCCCTCCCTGTCAGTCACAGAGGAGCGGTGCTGTCATCTGCCTGTGTGAACTCTGACATGCTGGCCACCAGGGTACGTGCTATTTCACAGGCCTCCTCAGGTCATAGAGCCTGCCAGTATCTGAGGAGGAAGAAGAGGAGTATGTTGAAAATGGTAGTCTTTAGCAAGAAACCAGAAGGTTTTTTTTAAGGAAAGAACAGCTAAAGTGCGTAGTGGCATCTCATGTAAAAAAATCTTACAGGCATGGTAGTACATGCCTGTAATCCTGGCTACCTGGGAAGTGAAGGCAGGAAGATCATAAGTTTGAAGGCAACCTGAGGAAAGTTAGCAAGATCTTTTCTCAAAAACAAAGTGGGGGCTGGGGGCATGGCTCAAGTAGCGAGCACCTGCCCATCATCCAGTTCAGGGTTCAATCCTTAGCACGACCAAAAGAGAGGGGAGGGAGGTGGCCTCTCAACCTTCTCTGGCACACTTCTCCTCTCAGTCAGTCTCCATTCTTGCTCCCCTGTTCCTTGTCTCTGAAGGGGGCGGGGGAGAAGCCCTGCGGGTGCTGCCGGGGAGCCTTTTGGGTGGTGCTGCCTTTCCTTCCCATGCCTTCTCCCTCGTGGGTGACCAGTTCCTTGTGGGCAAGAGCCAGACCTGGGCCTTCCCACCTCTCTGACCTCCCTCCACCCCGACCTGTTCCCTAATTGCATTGGGAGTCGTGTGGCCCGCGGGCCACAGCCATGGTGGACAACACACCTTCATCTCCAGACAGCACTGGCGGGTAGGCTGACAGCTCTTTTCATAGGAATCCCAGAATGCCCGCAGGGACGGTGTGGGGGAGTGCACAAGGCCTCCGCCGCCCCGCCCTCTTTGTGTCTCAGCTTAACAGAGGCAACATGGTGGTGCCCCGCCCCCTCCCCCCCCCCCCCCCCCCCCCCCCGGGGGATAGCACCGAAGCAGGCTGGTGAGAAAGACCCAGAGCAGAGTTTCACCGCCGTCCGTGATCTAAATGGGTTTTTTTTGTTGTTGCTGTTGTTTGTTGGTGGTGCTGGTCCTGGCACTTGAACTCAGAGCCTGGGCATTGTCCCTGAGCTTTTTATTTTTCAAGGCTTGGCACTCTACCTTCTTGAGCTGCAGCTATACTTCCAGCTTGTGTGTTTGTTTGTTTTCTGTTGTTGATTTTTATTTCATTGGTTTGTTGCGGGAGGAGGGGTTGGTAGTTAATTGGAGGTAAGAGTATCACAAACTTTCTTGCCCTGGCTTTCTTATAACCATGATCCTCAGATCTCAGCCTCCTGACTAGCTAGAATTACAGGCATGAGCCACCAGCGTCCAGCCTAAATGTTTTTTGTTGTTGTTTTTTTCCTCAGGGAGTGACAGGTGCTTTGACTGTTTTGATGAAAGATGCAATAAAGCCCAATCTGATGCAGACCTTGGAAGTAAGTGGCTTTTTTTTTTATAGTAGCTGTCTGTGGTATTTGCCATCATTGAAGTGTGTGTGTGTGTGTGTGTGTGTGTGTGTGTCTGTGTGTGTCTGTGTATGCGTGTGTGTGTGTTTGTGTCTGTCTGTCTGTCACTGCAGAGCACATGCCTTCCAAGCCAATATAATCCTGGAAGGGAGCTTCAGAAGAACTTGGTCATTGTGGGGGAAAAAAGTTTAAAACAAATTTATAGATTCTTAGGTCTGATTCATATCTTGGTTTCATTGATCAGAGAAGAAAGTTAGGAAATCTATCTCTGTCTAATATTTCAGTTGGTTGTAGAGGCCACATATACCTGCTGTTTTCTCATTTGTGTGGTTTTTCTTTTCATAATCCACCAATAGGTTTGGGATAGTTTAGTTTGTTTTTCCAAAATTAAATACAGTGAATACTGAGACATGTTTTCCAGCAAAGTGTTCTCGGCTTTGCTTTGCTTTGGTGATACTGTTTTTGCAAACACTGACATTTTTCTCTTTATCGAACTGAAATTTTGCAGTCAAGATACTTCTACTTTAATCCAGTTTCCGAGTCATTTAAGCATATTCATTTGCTTTAGGGGTGGTCCTAATTCCTTCCCCCAGCTAATGAGATGCTAGGGTTTGAGTCCAAACAAGGAGGTGTCTGGGGGCTGAGTTGAGCAGAGACCCCATGGAAGTGGTGGAGCAGGGCTGGCAGAGGGTGATGTACTGGTGTTTATTTGTACAGCAGTTCCTCAGGAAATCCCTTCTAGCATTTACCAATTACCATGGTATAAATGTTTCCACCAGAGCCTGTTTTTGACTCCCTTCTGGATGTCACTGCCCATAGAATTGGGAGAAACTATATGCCAACAGTGGCCATTTGTCCTCAACGTTCAGTGAAGGGCAGGTAAGGATGTGCAGGAGAGGAGAGAGCCACTGTTCTGAACAGGAACATGTAGAATAGCCATCCATTTATTCAGCCAATAAGAAGTCAGGTTTGAATGTCTGCTGTTCACCTCTGTAAACCTAGGCAAAGTCTTGAAACATCCTAGCCTGTCAATGGTGCTAAGTATCAACTAACCCAGCAGCATTATTATAAAGACAAAGTATTGCTTAAGTACATCGTGTGGACCAGCTGGTATGGGAGGTGTAGTAGATGTCAGGGTGCAGTACGAAGTCCACCCTGGCCAAGGTGGGCCTGACGGACATCAGACACATAAGTACATGGCATGTGATTGGGTGGCTAGGGCCAAAGGAGAAAGTTGAAAGGGAATGAGGGGTCACAGAGGCATGGTGGGTGCTTCTCCGTGCTGCCTGTCTGTCTGCTCAGATAGTACCTGAATAGAGAGATGGGTAAACTGAGGCTGCAGCGAGCACCTGCCTGGAGGAAATACATCCCAGGCAGGTGGAGATTCTTGGGTGGGAAGAGTTTCCCATCTGAAGGGCTTGGGCCTAGAGAGCTGGGAGCCAGACTGAGGGTGTGGCCCACAGGTGTCTCTGAGCCGGAGCCCGCACCCTGAGCCATGTCCCCTGTCCCTGATCCTCTCGCTGGTATGCAGGCTAGCTCTGGTGTGCACTGCCCTGGACTCAGCAGTCACTCTATGACCTGTGACCCCCACGGTCCTTCCAACCCAGAGGACAGGGAACTAGAGCAGGACCAGCGTCCTTGAGGCCTCCAGTTGGGTCTGAAGGCAGGATCAAGGTCGCCCACACTCAGTGCTCTTGTCTTCATTCTCAGAGGGCAGCACCTGCTCTGCAGCCTCCCCTCTCCTTTGCTGCTCCTCCTCTGTCTCCCCCATCCTTCCATGCTTGGTGGCCCTGGTGCTTTTAGGTCTGTGTGAGTCTGTCAGTGCCCAAATGCACCCGCCCTCCTCACGGCCAGGACATGAAGACACTGGCGTTTGCACCAGCTTGAACTCAGGACCTTGCACTCGTGCTTGGCTTTTTCCTGCAAACCTGGCCCTCTACTACTTGAGCCATACCTTCACTTGCAGCCTTTTGCTAATTAATTGGAGATGTGAATTTCCATCTGTCTGCCTAGTCTGGCTCTGAAATTCAGCCATCTGAGTAGCTAGGATCACGGGCATGAGCCCCCAGCCCTCAGCTTTGGCCCCACCTAAGGGTTTCACCAGCTCCAAATGGGACCAGGCCTTTACGACACATGTTTTTAAGAGATGCTGCCGACCTGAGCTATGCGCCATCATTCTGTAATGCATGCATTTCCCGTATTAGAACAGCACATTGCACCCCCAAAAAAAACAAGAGACTATTATTTGTGAATTAGAAATGCAAATTTAAACCAGCAAATGCTTTTGGTAATGGATTAGTCACATAGCCTAGGAAATAAGAAAGGTTCTATAAAAGGTAAACATCTTTTTTTCTAGTTTCTTGCTTTGGATCTTGTAGCAACATGGTAGGGTTATTTGGGGACGGCAGGTTGGTGCGGATTCAGGCACATGGTCCCCTGCGTTCCCTGGCGAGCAGGGGCTTTGTAACTGATGGCAGTGTGCGAGGAGGGCAGCCGCCGCTGCTGCCGCCAGCGGTGGAGCGCATGACCTTGTCCTCATTGAGCTTTGCCAGCGCCCTTTATTCTGTACCAGCAACAACGAGCCGAGACGACCAAGGGTAGGGAGGGAATGGAGGCCCAGACCTTGTAAACAGCATTCCCTTCAGAGCCCTGGAAATGTTTCCCGGTAGAAGTGAGAAGCCGCAGATAGCTAGGAAGATGTACATGATGCAAGTCCATGTGCACACATTGCCTATTGAACACATCCCCTGAGCTTTGTGGTCCTCGCTTTATTCCCACACGTCTCCTGACCGCCTCAGAACTCTTCTCCCTCCTCATGGCTTCAAGAGGAAAAGGGAATAAAACCCTCTGAGAAACTCTTCCATTCCAGAGGTGATCTTCCTTTCACTTTCCTCCCGCTTTAGTTCAGCTTTCCCTCATCTTTGAACCACGTGCAGCTGTTAGCCTGCTGTGGTTCATAGGAGTTTTCCAGGAGCTCTGGACCCCCAGCTCCCCACATCGCCCTCCCCTGCCGGCAGTGAAGGGGCAGCCTGCGTTTCCACAGGGGGAGTGAGCCCTGGAGCACATGGACGCAGCCCCGAAAGCCCTGACTGAGCCCTGGCAGGAACGCCAGCTCTGATGCTGTGTATAAAGTTCTTTCATTCTGTTGTCATCGATAAAGAAAATGACATCTAAAATGAATATATTCACTGCTTTTATTTAAAAAATTAAAGTCTAGGCTGGGAAGGTGGCTCAGTGGTAGAGTGCTTGCCTGGCATGCATGAAAGCCTGGGTTCGATTCCTCAGCACCACATACACAGAAAAAGCCGGAAGTAGCACCACAGTGCTCAAGTGGTAGAGCACTAGCCTTGAGCAAAAGAAGCTCAGGGACAGTGCCCAGGCCCAGAGTTCAAGGCCTATGACTGGCAAAAACATAAATAAAAATGAAAGTCTAAAATTGTTTTTGTGGTGGTGGTGGTGGTGTGTGTGTGTGTGTGTGTACCCCACCAGTCCTGTGACTTGAACTCAGGACTTTATACTCTTGCTTAATTCTTTTGCTCAAGAATGACACTCTACCACTTGAGCCATACCTCTACTTCCACCTTTGTGCTTGTTAAGTGGAGATGAGAGTCACAGGAATTTTTCTGCCCAGTTTGGCTTCACACTGCAATCCTCAGATCTCAGCCTTCTGAGTAGCTAGGGTTATAGTGATAAGCCACCAGCGTCCATCTAAAATCTAAAGTGTTTGATGATTCCCTTGTATTGATTTTTGGTTATTTTCTTATTAACAAGTATTATTTTAATACTTTAATATAAGTGAAATTTTTCTTTGCTTGTATTATTCTTATGAATACCGTATTTCTAATGTGTTTAGTTAAATGATGAGAAAGATTTAATGCTTTTTAAGCTTTGGAAAGAACTTTATGAAGAAAACTAAAAACAGTGTACTCTTAATCTTCTGCCTTGATTTCCCCACTTCATTAATTGGTTTGGTTTATATGCTGTTTAAATTTTAATTTGACTATTTCATTTTTGTTGTTATGATTTTGGCTTGGGCTTAAACCCAAGAACTTGTGTTTGCTAGGAAGGCTAGCTCTTAAATTGACTAATTTCTTTTCTTTTTTTTTTTTTTTGTCGGTTGGGGGGCTTGAACTCTGGGCCTGGGCACTGTCCCTCAGCTCTTCAGCTGAAGGCTAGCAATCTACCACTTGAGCATTAGCCCCACTTCCAGCTTTTTCTGCTTATGTGGTGCTGAGGAATTGAACCCACAGCCTCATGCATGCAAGGCAAGCACTCTACCACTGAGCCACCTTCCCAGCCCTTAAATTGACTAATTTCTTTTTTTTTTTTTTTTTTTTTTGTCGGTCATGGAGTTTGAACTCTGGGCCTGGGCGCTGTCCCTCAGCTCTTCAGCTCAAGGCGAGCGCTCTACCACTTGAGCTACAGCGCCACTTCCGGTTTTCTAGTGGTTTATTGGAGATAGGAGTCTCACGGTCTTTCCTGCCCGGGCTGGCTTTGAACCGCGATTCTCAGATCTCAGCCTCCTGAGTAGCTAGGATTACAGGCGTGAGCCACCGGCGCCCGGCTAAATTGACTAATTTCTTAATGGCAAAAATATTGAAGAAGCCTCTTAGGTGATGAGGGTTTACTTCTATTCTTTTAAAAGATGCCATTCAGAGCCCCATGAAATCACGCAAATCCTGTATTCCATAATGAATGTGGCAGCTAGCAGTAGCTCTCATGACAGGAGAGGACTGTGTCCTCAGTGGCTCAGCTTTAAATGTAGGGTGATACCATCCTTGTCCTGGGATGCATAGGAATTTGGTCTTTGAAGGAGGCAGGGTGCTTTGCTCTTTGAGAGACACTGTGCTTCTGATGGGATTCAGGTAGGCCTCTGATGCCCAGCACCGGGCCACCTTGTGTGTCCTCATCCATCTTTGTCTTCCCTTGTCCTTGTAACCCTGCAGGGCACCCCTGTGTTCGTGCACGCTGGCCCCTTTGCTAACATTGCTCATGGCAACTCCTCAGTGTTGGCTGATAAAATCGCCCTGAAACTGGTCGGTGAGGAAGGATTTGTGGGTAAGTCATTTCTTATACCTTGACTTGTTAGTGGAATATCAATGAAATCCAAACACTAACAGCTACAATAATGTTGTTTTGTTGAGTTGTGTTGTGCCAGTACGAGGCTTGAAATCCGGTCTGAGGTGTTGTCCTTAGCTTTTTCACTGAAGACTGGCATTCTACTACTTGAGCCACAGCTCTTCTTCCAGCTTTTTTGGTCATATAGACCTTGCATGGGCTTGCTTTGAACCATGATCCTCAGATCTCAGCCTTCTGAGTTGCTAGTATTACAGGTGTGAGGCACTGGCATCTTGCTATGATAAGAGTTTTGATGTGAAACATACTCCTTTAGTTCTCATAGATAACTTCAGTACTGGAGGGAAAGTCTTGGGCCTGATCTATACTAGTAAATATTTGTTCAGGATCTCCCAGGCACAAAGCTCGCTGCTCCAAGCTGGGGATATACTGTGAGCAAAACAAAGCTAGCCTGGCCACCATGAGTGAACTGTCAAGTGTTGTATCTATAACATAACTGGAGAAAGTGCTAATAAATGGAAGTCTGTCTTCTCTTCCTGGACTCCTGATGTGCTTTTATGACTTAATAAAGGGGAGATTTGCCAGTGGCTCACACCTGTTATCCTAGTTAATCATGAAGCTGAGATCTGAAGATCACGGTTCAAAGCCAGCCCAGGCAGGAAAGTCCGAGAGACTGTTACCTCCAATAAGCCCCTAGAAAACTGGAAGTGGCGCTGTGGTTCACGCGGTAGAATGCTCGTCTTGAGCTGAAGAGCAGAGGGACAGAGCCCAAGCCCCATGACCAACAAAAAATAAAATAAAGTAAAATTCCAACCAGTTGACTTGGAAATTTCCCTGGGGAGAACTGTAGATGTTTTGCCCCTAGTATAAAGGTAGCGTGCATAAAGTTTGCTCAGTCATTGACAGCCCCAGCGTTACCCAGAACAGTAGGTCTGGGGGCTAACAGGAACCAAACATGGGGCTGGGAAGGTGGCTCAGTGATAGAGTGCTTGCCTTGCATGCATGAAGCCCTGGGTTCCATTCCTTAGTATCACATAAGCAGAAAAAGCTGGAAGTGGCTCTATAGCTCAAGTGATAGAGTGCTAGCCTTGAACAAAAGAATCTTAGGGACAATACCCCGGACCAGAATTCAAGCCCCAGGTCTGGCCAAAAACTAAAAAGGAACCAAACATGGCATCATGATATGCAGCCAAACGAGGCTGCATGGACCATCAAATATATCATTCACAGAGTGAAAGGGGGAAATCTACCTGATCAATCCCAGCTCTGCTTCTCCCTGCAATGATGACACCAATTATTCCAGGTTATTGAGACCATCTTAAGAATTCTTAAGAGATACAAAGCCCGGATTGAGTAGAGATTTATGTAATTTCATGCCTCAGAGGTCTGTATATAATACCACAGTCATGGCCTTTGCTGTTCTGGTACCAAATCCACGTGGAGAGTGGCTAGACATGCTGTCTGGATGGATTTGCTCCATTCATTGATCATGCGGAAGAGTGGAGCTTAATGGCCAAGGGAGCTGGGGAAGGGCAGACAGTGAAAAATTGGTCTGCTTAAGTGGTGATTTGAATGCATCTACTCTGCAAGTAGAAGAAAGCACTCTGTTTTATGCTGACCGCTCTCTCTGCTTCAGGACCAGGCCTTAGCTTGTCAGGAAGACACATTTACAGAATACGTATCATTTTGGCAAAATACCTCTAATAGTATATGTTGATGACATCCTTGACATCATTTTGTATACAAGACAGACAGGCTGGCTCTCTGTGGGACCTCTGACAAGCTTCGTCTCTGGGTGTGACCCATGCAGACTTTGTTATCTAGAAAATGAGATGTTGGTTCTTTTTGGTTGGTCATGGGGCTTGAACTCCAGGCCTGAGCAACTGTCCGTGAGCTCTTTTGCTTAAGTTTGGCACTCTACCACTTGAACCAGACCTCCACTTTCTAGCTTTTTATAATTAATTGGGGATGAACGTCTCATGGGATTTTCTGCCCAAACTGGCTTCAAATCTTTTTTTTTGGGGGGGGGGGGAGGGGCGGAAGGCAGTCTTGGGGCCTGAACTCTGGGCCTGGGCGCTGTCCCTCAGCTCTTCAGCTCAAGGCTAGTGCTCTACCACTTGAGCCACAGTGCCACTTCCGGCTTTTTTTTTCTGCTTACGTGGTGCTGAGGAATCGAACCCAGGGCCTCATGCATGCAAGGCAAGGGCTCTACCACTGAGCCACCTTCCCAGCCCTGGCTTCAAATCTTAATCCTCAGATCTCAGCTTCCTGAGTAATTAGGATTACAGGGGTGAGACACCAGTTCCCAGCTTCTTAATTAGTTTTGAAACCAGTTTGGGCGTGTGGGCATGTCATCCTTTCTGTTAGGGGTCCTCGAGAGGAGCATTGAAACCACCAGAAATCTGTGAAGAGATCTAGTGGCCCTGAAACACAGATCTAGAGTATGAGTGTGTGGACATTTTGTTCAGTGGCAAAATGGCTGCAAATTCTCATTAGACTCTTAAAGGGCACCTGTCTCGGGAAAGATGGAGGACAGTGAGTTCTGTCAGAGCCTGGGGTACCTTATTCCCCATCCCATGATCTGACCTCTCTTCCTTCCCTCCTCCCTTCTTCCCTTTCAGTCTTGGCCTCTTCTACCTTGATGACCTTATCTAATATCAGTCTCCTCCTCCCCCCCCCCCAAAAAAAAAACTCCATAGTTAAGTTTCCACCTCCTATGCCTGGAGATTAAATTCCAACTTGAGTTGGAGTCTCTTTTTTTTTTTTTCTCTTTTTCAGCAGAGGGAGGAGGCAAATCACGTTCAAACCATAGCTGGCTCCTAAAATGCCTCCTAAAATGCTGGTGAAAGGTGACCTTGAGCCTCAGGATGACGTCAGGCATCTGGCTCCTGCCCCTGTTCTGTGGAGGCTGATTATCAATCTTCCCTCGAATCTGTAACAGTCTCAGAGGGGAGCCCCGCCCGCATGCGCCTTGTCCTCCCTCTCCATTTTTATTACTATCAAATTGTAAATGCTCCTCATTTTTGTAGAAGCAAACCAGACCAAACATTGCTATAATTTCATCCACTCTAAGAAAGAGAAAAAAGAAAAGGAAGGAAAGATAAAAGGGAGGAAGGAAAGATGGAAGGAAGGAAGGAAGGAAGGGAGGGAGGGAGGGAGG